GCTTTGATCTATTTTGTAAAAGCGCTTTATAAATACTTTATTATTATTATTATTATTATTATTATTATTATTAATGTATTTGGTGGAGAATTGGGGATGGATTGTGTGTTTTCATTTTTTTTTCCCCACCTTGGCTCCACCTCTCCATTACCACATTGCATGTTCCAGTCATGTGCGTGCACGCATGTCGGACTTGTGCTGTAACTTACAGTGTATGTTGAACATTAGTCACAGCTGTGATTGGTCGAAAATGGGGGGGGGCGGGGCTTACATGTATTGAATCAGTCTATTGGATGTACACAACTTGTGCGAAGCACTTCCCCTTATACATTACATTCAGCTTCAGTAGAAGACATTCAAACGGGTGCATACCGATGTTCCCCAACACCGATGTTCCCCAATACCGATGTTCCCCGAAATCCTTACCCTATAACCCTAGCCCTAACCCTAACCCTAACCCTAACCCTAACCGTAATCCTAAGGATTTCGGAAACATCGGTATTGGGGAACATAGGTATTGGGGAACATCGGGTAGATCCCCATTCAAACTACAGGGTGAGTAAAAAAAAAATGAAACCCAAATGTTGGGATCATTGTTTTAGTGAAGTTCTGCATGTAGCACTTGAAAAAAAAACTAGGATATGAAAGCCCAATTCATAAGCTTTCTTTCAGTACAAGAATCATTAAAATCGCTCATGTACTTTTCAAGTTACGGAATTTTAAACACAAACACCGTTTTTAAACTTCTGTACACAGATCACAAAAATGGTAAGTGTTCTTTCAGCAAAATGAAAACAATTCTATATCCTAGATTTTGAAAGTGCTACATGCAGAACTTCACTAAAAAAAAGGTCCCGACAATTGGGTTTCGTTTTTTTTTTAACTCCTTCTGTACAGTGCATCACCAAGCCACTTGTAACATTCATGGCCAACTTCTTACTTCAATCATGTCAGTTTGCAAAATTTGCCAATTAATATCTTTGCGTTTTCACTCTCCTGACCACGAGGCGACGGCACTCGACTTTTGTTTCTGTAAAGGGAGAGAAATTCTAAAAATCTGAAGAAAAAAATCAACCAGAGGTTTAGAGGCTCAGTGTGAAATTTTAATATCCGACAGATTTCTAGCAATCCAGCCGTCTTATTAGGAAAGTTGTTACTCTCATTTGGCACATCTGGAGATGGGACAAAATAATTGGATGCTCAGTTTCGAAAGCTGAGTAATTGCGATATGATTGCACCTGGGTACGCTCGCTGACACGCTCCCAGATATCTGACTTCTTACTCAAGGTGCTGCTTGACGTCAGTGCTTCTTTCTGTTTTTTTTACTCCATTTCATCTGATAGCAGGATTTCTTGGCCTGAGATGAATTTTGTTAGGGACCCGGGGTAAATATTTACAGGGGTGGTCTCGGCGTCAACAAAAAGCAAATATCCGCAAGCGTCTGATAATGCAGACCTGTGGAAATGACGGGTCTAAAGTGCACCGGGGGTTCATGCTTGTACGTTTGTCATCCGAAGTGGAAAGTGTGGATCTTGCTGAAAGTTAAAATGGAAAAAGACTGTGATTCTCGGAGCAGTTTTAGAAAGCATTAGAAATTGGCATTCCAGTTTTTCTGTGCTGTGTAGTCATTTGTAAAATAAACATTACTGGTTCCTGTTATTTCCTACCCCAATAATCCTTGTATCGCCCCAAATCCCCTGATTATGCTATGGGTATTTAAATATTGTTTTTCCTTGTTATTTTTCGGGTCTTCGTGGATGTCAGTTCCCCTGTTTTTGTGTGAAGTGGAAAACAACATCTGACTGAGATGGGTCACGCTACATATTGACAAAAATGTCCGGTGTACTGGGTTGGTGTGTTCCATTTCCATTCAAAATGCAAACGTTGGGCAGAATGTGTAGCCTGAATCCTTACCTGATTTAACCTCACCAAGATCTGCAAATAAGGACCTGCTCGTAATATTCTCCGAATCAGACAATTTCGTTTTTTAATTGTTGAATGCATTTTCATTGTGAATATCATGTTTTATGGATACACCCTGATTCTGTTGTATAGAGACCAACAGTAACTAAGACTGTCCCAAATGTTTTGAATATGCGATCATCAATTGAATATTTGAATAGCTTTCTCCTGCCTTGAATATTTGAAAACAAAAAAATTATGCACATAACCACAAGACTGTGATGTTACTTCTAAATTTGCGGCATTTTTTAGTCAGGTGCCACTGGTTTTGATGGTAACTCTTTTGTCGACGGCGGTTCATTGTTTCTATCCTTTTAGTCGGTTAAAGCCCTGGACAGATACAAAATACTTACTGCAAACTCTCCTTATCGATCGCCGCACGCAAATTTCAACTGGCGCGCTCTGCATGCAACTTTTGACCTGCGTGGCACGATGCAGCTGGCAGTTTCGAATATCCGAATATTCGATCAAACACATCAGTGTCGAGTAATCGAATACTATATTATTCCAAAATATACAGCCCTAAACCTTAACCTTTCCACAGCACAAAAATCCCCCCCCCCCCCCCTGTGTGAAGGAGAGCTGAATAAACAGAATGTTTAATTTCCAAAAATCCATTTATTTTAGAGGGTCCTCATATCCGGCACTATTAAAATACGCATGTTCCTCACCTATGAACAATCCCTCCAAAAAAAAAAAATCTGTCAACAGATTTGAAGACCTGGGAACGGCCAACTAGGGAGGAAGAAGTCTCTTGATGCGTTGCTAGGCAACCACACACCATCGCTGCCCATCCAAGAAGACGGGAATAAAAACATCTTTTAGGGATTACATGTACGTCCAATTCACTTCATCTCCCTTGGGCTTGGAGAAACTGTAGCATGCAGTCCCATTCCAATTTCAACAAAAAGTAAAGGCTCGGGGGAGGAAACGGAAGTGTGCTCTTCATCTCGGTTTTGTTTTTGTTTTTCCGTTGGCTTGTCGCCAGCGTGGGATTTCTGTTTGTCAGTGTTGATCAAGACGTTTGCGAGGAAATGTCAGACCGCCTTGTCAGGGACAATCTTTGGGGGTTGACATTAAAAAGGGTTTATTTGGTTTCATGGGGTAATGTCAGTCAGCGTACCATATTAATGGGTTATTAGGCATGATAGCAGTTATTCACATATATTTATTGTGTTGGTAATGAAGATTTATTTCCAAAAAGGTCTATCCAGTTGGGGAAAATAAAGTGAAAAATGTGATAATTAAAACGATAAAACAGCTTTTTAAACTTCATTATTCGCTTTATTGTATGTTAAAGGGGCACTGCGTCCTGAAATCCCCGAAAATTTCAAGTTTTAGATTCTTTATCCTACATGTATTTCAAACATCTGGTTGAAAGGAAACCAACCTAATGTCTTAACGTTCCCAAGAAAAGACGAAAAAAACCCACTTGTTTACATCGGACACAACAGAGTATGATAGGTGTTTCCTGTCGTTTTCATACAATGTATGATACACGTTGTGTGTGTCTGGCAAAGCGCCCAGTTTTTAAAGGATAGTTGTGTGGATGTTGATACATGTATCCTACTTTTAAATGTTCTTTCAGATTAACATCATTTCGTTCAAAACGCGTTTTTAGCCCAATTGGGCGTACATGTATTTCAGGACGCAGTGTCCCTTTAAACTGACTTTGGGCAGCTGGGAGAGAGCGGGATTCTAAAAGGGAACAAAATATCATTTGATCGCATTTTGGAAATAACCTCTTCAAGTATAAATGACTAATAACGTGCTTCATAATGCTGATTAATATTAAAAACATTCCAAAGGCTTTCTCAGTAACCTCAATAGTTGTGTAGTTTCACAGCTCGATACTGCCATAAAAATACATACATTTTGTACAGCTGTCATTGACCCCACAGGTCCTTCATGTACTCCTGAACGAGAAGAAATTATATATCAGTATATACATTGTAATAATTCTGGAAAATACAACATTTGCAAACATCAAAAAATAAAACTACCAAATCATTTGGAAATACCTTGCTGGACTGTTAGTGAATGACAGTGTAAAGCATCCTGTAAAATCATGGCACCTGGTATACTGTCATTTTCAAGAAAAGTGGTATTTTTGTATCAATTTCCAACGCTGATCGGCCGATCAGCGTTGGAAACAACTGGCTTTTTTTTCAAATACTGGCCCCAATTGACCATCGCACTTGTTTGCAATCGATTACAAACCTATGAACGGGTACGAGCCAGCTAGACTGGTTCCCTGACCTTACAATTCCCCAATGTATGTAAACTGCTCTGTTTCTTCTTATATGGAGTCAGGGAACCAGACTACAGGAAAATGATCGTTTTTCTTGGTTTTTATAGCATTTTCGAACCCAAAACCTCAAAAAAGTCAGTGTAACTATATTTGCTATATATTTCCAACCCCCCAATTCCATCCATTTCTGAAAATTACAGCAAAAGCAAATGATGTATATTCCCTTTAACCCACAATCTACAGAATGACCTACAAATTCGATGACTTTTCTGGACCCCTTTTTTTCCCAAAGGTTTTTTTTTATCATGAATTGTTGTTCATCCAGCTTTAGAAGGAATCCAGTTGTACAACATATAAAAATGCATGTACGCTTGTTTAAAATCCTAATCACAAATGACATTTCGTAGATCGAGCAACACCACCCCCCCCCCCCCCCCCGCATCGTCTTTCATTTTGGCATCTTGCAAGTTTTATTGTCTCTTCCTTAATCATTCTAGGCAGCCCTGATCAATAGTGTCGGTATCAGTTATTGACTAACTAATTAACCCAGTGGCGGATCAAGGGGTGTGGAGGCCCCCCCCCCCCCCCCCCCCCGGCAGTGAGCGAAATTTTCTGAAATAAGTAAATATTTCACTTGAGAGAGCCCTTCTGCCCCCCCCCCCCCTCAGCAGTTACCTCTCTGGATACGCCCTTGTTACCAACTCTGCCTGAAAACGTTGGTCACCTCCGTTATCTGAATGTGTACAAGCAGTAAAAGTGACAGACATTTCCCTCTTTACTTTGTTAGGGTTTTGAACCACGGGGTACGGCCATAAGCCAGCGGTCTGTCACGTGGCAGAACATGCTGGATCAAACTGGAGCGGGCCAGCTTCTGTCTGTCTACCCAGTGCATGGCAGCCGCCACCCCTACAGCCAGACAAAACAGCCTCCAGTGCACTCTACCTCATCCAATGCCTCCATCAACTCAACCACAGCAACCTCAACGCCCCTCACGCTGACTGCCGTGCCAGACACAACTCAGACATCCGTGGATGAGATTCAGGCTGTTGCTTCTGGAGATGATGATGACAGTAGCAGCAGTTCCAGCGATTGGCGGGGTCCGTATGATGGAGAGTTGCCCTTCGGAGCCGTGGATGCCAACGAGCCGTTCTTCTGTTTCAACCCCTGTGAGTTCATGTGGTCTTCTTTTTTCCATTGTATTACTGTGTGTTTTTCCCTGATATTCTATAAAACCATAGACTGCTTGTGTGGTTTTCAGCAATACATAGGCAGGGTGGTTCAGGACTTCACATGGAGCAATAGGCAGGGTGGTTTTGGGCTGAACATGGTGTAGTAGGAAAGTTGGTTTGGGGTGGTACAGAGATTTATCAGTTAAGGTTTTACGAGAGAGGAGATGGTTAAGAACTATGGAATTGAATTTGCTCAATGCAACAAGGTCCGTGGCTCAGATCAACTGTTCACTGTTTATCAACAAAATTGACCTGAAAATTCCATGTGAGATTTGTTCGGTTTTAGCAGGGTGACTGTTAACTTACCGGTACATACATGTACTCGGGGACGGATATAGCTTTCAGGAAACGGGGTGGTTGATGTGAAGGTGCAGGGGTTTTGAGTGATGGTTTGCTTAGATCTGTTACTGATACTGATACTATTTTGGTTTGACCTTTACAGCCAGAGAGTATGCCCGGATGGTGTTTGAGCCAATTCACTCCGGTAATCTGCTGACGTTACACGGTCTGCAGTCAATGTGCCAGTTGGAAGAAGCCAGCGTCCGTCAGCATCTGCAGTTTATGAGGAGCTGTTACACCAACAGGAAGGGGGAATGCTGTCCCAGCTGGTCAATCGGAAACTATGTGGCACTGCTGAACAACCGTTCCAGCTGCGCAGAGATAACGGCGGGTGACGTGGCAGAAACCCTGGAGTTGCTGCAGAAATGCTCCCACTTCTATCGCAGCCGGACCTTGCTGCCTGACTGTTGGGAGACAAGGGAGTGGAGACCGTGCCCAACCAACATCCACCAGGACTGCATCCGCTATGATGCTGTCTACTCCATCATGCATTACCTGGCTGACGTGGAGTTCCTGAGTGTGGAGAAGCCCAACAATGTCCGTGTGCAAAACGCCATGGTCATCCTCCCGGTGCATGCTGGGAACGACATGCGGGAGGTCTACGAGGACATCTTCCAAGATAAGGAAGTGGAGAACTCGGAGGTTCGAGTGACGGGATTGTTCTTCAACCTCAAGTACGATCTCTTCGGCGAGCATCTCACGGCCGAGGCTTTGTATCCGTGCCTTGGAGTGGTGATCATCATCTTGCTGATGTGGATATACATTGGATCGTTGTTTATCACCGTCATGACAGTGCTGAGTATGGCCATGTCACTCATTCTGGCCTATTTCCTCTACCGTGTCGTCTTTGGGATTCCCTTCTTCCCATTCATGAACCTGACCACTGTTATCCTCCTGGTGGGCATTGGAGCCGATGACGCCTTTGTCTACTGTGACATCTGGAAGCGTACCCGTTTAGACCACGTCAACACCCCTCACGTTCTGGTGGTCTTGGACACACTGCGGCATGCCGCGGTGTCCATGTTCGTCACCAGTCTGACGACGGCGTCCGCTTTCTTTGCCAACACCATCAGCAGCATCACCTCCATTAAATGCTTCGGCATCTTCGCAGGGACAACTATCCTTGTCAACTGTTTCTTCACCGTCACCTGGTTGCCTGCCGTTGTCACCATTTATGACCATTACTTTGACGGATTCTCCTCCCTCAGGAAAGACACGAGGGAGTACAGAACCTACAAATGGAAACACTTGTGGTGCACTCGTATCGTCTGCTATGTGCACAAAATCAAGTATGCCGTGAGCGAATGGTCCCGCATTTTCTTCGACAAGATTTTACCTTGTGTTGTGGTCAAACTGCGGTATATGTGGCTGCTCACATTAAGCACGCTTACCCTGGGTGGATTCATTCTGATCTTCTTAAACCCAAAGCTTCAGTTGCCCACTCTTCCTGAATTCCAATTGTTTCGCTCGCTGCACCCATTCGAGCGATACGATTTCATCTACAAAGATATGTTCTGGTTTGAAAAGGTCAACAGTACAGGGTCACAGGGTTACGCTCATTTGCCTTTGACAATTGTCTGGGGAATTCAGCCGAAAGATAATGGCAATCCCCTGGACCCGGACAACCACGGTACCATCACATTTGATGAGACATTTAACCTTGCTCTGCCGGACTCCCAGCAGTGGCTTATGAAATTCTGTGCCAGGTTACGTAACCACACTTTTTACTTTCCAACCTCAGGGCTGCAATTCAAAAACTGTTTTATAGAGAACTTCAAGACCTGGATGCAGTCTAGAAACTGTCTCGACCCCGAAACGGGGGAAAGTCACAGACCATGCTGCCAGGAAAGCGCATTTCCGTATTCTCAAGACGTCTTTAAGACATGTCTCAAGGAAGCAGTTAGTGTACTGTACCATGAGTTCCCAGTGGCCTTCTCAAAATACACCCCGGGGCCTCGTTTCAGTGGCCCCAAAGACAAAATTGTGGCTGCCATTGTTGAGTTTGACAGCACACAGACTTTCACATACTCTTTTGAACAAATCAAATCATTTTGGACCAGATTTGACGCTTGGGTGAACTCAGAGATGAAAAACGCTCCCCCAGCCATGCAGCATGGATGGTTCACAAGCTTCTTGGATTTCTATGATCTCCAGGACAACTTGGCCCACGGTACGCCCATTGCTCTAGGCATGTCCATCATCATCTCTACCTGTGTCATGTTTGTGACCACCCAGAATCTCCTGATCAGTCTCTACGCCATCCTGTCTATATCCGGCACCATATGCGTCACCATCGGGGCCTTGGTGCTTCTGGGCTGGCAGCTCAACATTCTGGAGTCTGTCATCTTGTCCGTCGCGGTGGGGCTGTCTGTTGACTTCACGGTCCACTACGGCGTGGCCTACAGGATTGCACCGGAGAAGGACAGGGAGTCACGGGTGGTGTTCTCTCTGGGCCGCATGGGATCCGCAATCACCATGGCTGCCCTGACCACGTTTGTGGCAGGCGCCTTGATGATGCCATCAGCCATCCTGTCCTACACCCAGATGGGTACCTTCCTCATGCTAATTATGTCCATCAGCTGGGTGTTCTCAACGTTCTACTTTCAGTCCCTGTGCCGCACCATCGGCCCGGAGGGGTCCTTGGGTCAGTTCCTACTCCCGGGCAGTACCTGCTGCGCTCAGAGAAAGAACACCATCAGAGCAGTCGAAGATTCAGAGGTTATCCATTCTCATTCCTCGGAGGTGCCAAGCTCAGGTGAGTCGCATGAACTGGAACCCCTCAGCTCCTTTGCGGCATCAGATCTGAGCTCGCCTGCACCTAGCACCAGCTCCCTGGGCGCCTGCAACAAATTCTCCCGCCATCTGGGAGTTGCCCCGCATTGCCCGCACCACCACAGGGCCAGGCACAGGCCCGAGAGACCGCTGGTCCCAGTCACTGGCCCTGCTCATTCGGAGGTGGTATGGGAGGGAACCAGCGGGTTTGTGACCCGGCTCTACCAGCCAGTGCCTCAAAGTGAACCATCCCCGTCGGCTATTCTTCCAAACAGGAATCCAAATATTCCCGACATCTGGGTGAAAATGTGAATTGCCGTGAAATTCTGGATTGTATATATTCATGTTTTGTAACTTTTTGGATTGGGCATTTTGGTCAGTTCTGCTTGGAGGCAGAGGACCATCGGAACACCTTTTGATTATAAATTTGATGTTTGCAATTTGAAAGGGGAGAAGGTTTAATTTGACTTAACTGTACTAGACCTGTGCAACTTCCTTAAGTTGCTAAGAGTTGTGATTTGACTTGACCAATCCGTTTATACCACTGCATGTTCCAGAGGTGTGTCATATCAAAATACATGATTGTCAGACATTTTTCCGACATTAATCATGCTTGTGATTTGTCACAAAAAAGGGGGTGGGACTTATATTGTTTTTGTCACCCTAGTTAACTTTTATATTTGAGTAAATAAAAGGTTTGCTGAACGGCTTAAATGGTAATCATAGCAAACCTGAGCAATTGCTTTGAATGGGCTTAACCTACATGTATACCTACAACCTGTTTTACATAACTCAATAGAACTTGTATCACATTGTATTACATTGTATTTACTCATTGACGAAATCAATAAAAGCTTAAGTGCTGGGCGGTTAGGGCGAAAAAAGGAGTGACAGGTAGGACGGTTTGGGGCGGTACAGGGACTAACCCTCCCTCTCTCAGTAACCCTATGGGTCAAAATCTATCACGTTACAATTTTGAACAGGTCTGTAAACTGGCCTCATCTTGGTACAATTGACAGGTTAAATAGCTGCTACTCAAGCTGTACCAGTATTAATGGTCAACCTATCTATCAAACCACTTGTAAACAGGCTTTGGCAGTTATAGTGTGTAATGGGCCTTATTCACGGGTCGGACATATTGAATTGAAAGTGAGGTGAAATCTTAAGTTTTTGAAATTGCGAAGAGAAATGAAACCAAGTTAATTTCTAATTAATTCAAGTCTGCTTCATTGGATAATTTAAAATTTGTAATTAAACATTCTCTAATGTTTAAAGCCAGATTTAAAAGAAAAATGACAGTAAATAAGGCTGCATTGTGCCTGCGTAAATTGTCTGGCGCCATCCCATTCAACAGTTAACAATTAATGAAATACATTCAGGGAACTTGACAAAAATGGCCAACTCGTGAATAAGGCCCATCCATGAGGGGTTTCTGGTAGTTGGTGACCAGCCTGTACAAAAGCTATTGAGAGAGGAGGTAATGGTTAGGTTTTTGACAGTTTGTGATAGTTACATGTATAGGATGGCTTAACTAATGGGTTAGAGTCACCACCCAAACTCTTTTTGTTTGTTTTGTTACAAGGCTCTGCTAGGATAACAATAAAGCTATCAATTAAATAATATTGCCTCGAAACATCTCACAAACCACTCAATTGCAGCCAGTACTACATGTATATGGCCCTAGGTGAAATTATGGAAAATGTTTTGTGTCATTTTATTGGTACATGTAGGGCTGGTTCCATATTAACTTACTGCTTATCAATTTTTTTTTACAGCTACTGCTTTAAAAAAAAGTGTACATTACTTTACAAAATTTAATTGCAGATAATGCAGTTTTTTTGCTCTAAGCTGGAAACAAATATGATTTGCAACATTAATTTTAGATGCCGCAATTCATTATTTTATTTAATTGCAAAACTCATTGTTCCCCGTTTTGTGTGGTTGTCGCAATTGCAGGTTTCGTTTGTGCTATAAATTTTTGCAGGTGTTTTGAACACATTAGTTAATGTGGGTATATTGCTTGCATAGGCTACATGTATTTTGTGTTCAGAATCTGGGTGCAGCCATATTGTTAGAACTCTACACTGTATGTACACTAGGGGTGTGCATTTACAGGTAGTATGGAAATCGGGTACCCGATTAAAAAAAAAAATGGGTACCTGGGTATCCGTTAAAGAAACCTAACCCCAAAATGTAAATCTCGGAGGTTGCTGTACAGGTTGTTCATAAAGATCCGTCCGCATGATAATTCTGCTACATCGGTGCATGAACACAGAAAGATACAAGTGTGTTCAGGGAGCTCAATACATGTAGCTTCACGGTGTAAATTTCATTTGTGCAAGCGTCATAACCATGAATCTATTTTGTTTTTCCATGGAGCCTGGTTTTCATTTTGAAAATTCTCCACAAACGAGAAGTTGTCTGAGAAGTTACTTAGTAATTTGTGAAGTTGGTTGTGGGTACCCGATCCCATAATCTGGAACTGTTTCCTGACATCGGCAGTCGAGTTGCAATGCACAACCCTAATGTATACAAGGGCGGATCCAGGGGGGGGGCCAAAGGGGGCCATGGCCCCCCCCCCCAAAACGAAACCAATTTTTTTTTTTTTTTATGTGACATCGCAATAAAGGCAGGCAATGAGTACACCACCATCTTTTCCTCAAAAAAACATTGGTTAAAGTGGTCAGAAATTGCCTCAGATCGCACCACAGAGCATCTAGAATCCAAAAAATTTTCGGGGCCCTTAAGCGGGCCCCGAACCCCACGCCGTAATTTTTTTTACCCACTTTTTTGGGGGACCAAAATTTTTTTGGCCCCCCCAAAAATTGTGTTCTGGATCCGCCCTTGAATGTATACAACAGTGCTTGCTATGTACATGTATATGTTTCCTAGGCAAGGCTTTGAGGGTTTGTGTTCGCTCGTACCCCCCGCCCTGCAAACAGGGCGCTGGTAAGGGCTGATGAGCTTCACAGAATCTTGTGAAGGAAGTACAGATTGACCTTCGCATGCAGCTAGCGTGCGCTACGCATGATGGGCACCGGAAGCTAGTTTGTGTGACGCGTTCTACGTCACAGGTCACGCAAATCTATCCAATGAGAGCTCAAATGACGTCAGCCCTGACCAGCGTCCTGTTTGAAGGGGGGGGGGGGGGCTATAGCGAAGGGTTTGTGTAGTTACGGGCCCTGTTCCTAGAAGAGAATGAAAATCCACCTTTAGGTTATTGGACTTGCCAAACTAGTTATTTTTATTCATTAACTTTTTTGTAGGTACCGTACATGTATACACCATATCAAATACACAATCATGCAGAACATGATCACGTCTATTCCACTAAGTTTTACATGTAATGGGGCCCGAGCCACCCGACTGCCCTTTTTAAGAGAACTTTTGTGAGAAATTACTTCAAGGACTAAAACGGAAGATGGGCTCATAACTGCACAATCACTAGGCTTTCTTGATTAACTTGCTTGTTTTACTGAAACATATGATGCCATGTTAAGCCAAGTAGCAGTGGTAGATTAATTAATATGCAACCTTGCATACTGTACTACAAAGAACTATTATGTGCATTCCCATAATGTTTTTTTTTTATTTATTAATATTAATTTTTGTTGTAGATATACGCCAAATACTCAATCATGCATAACATGATCATGACTATTCCACTGTGTGTACATGGGCCCAATTAACTGCCCTTTAATAATGGACATTTTTGTGAGAAATTATTTTTTTGTGTTTGATGTCGAACTGTTACCTACATGTACATATATTGTATAAAAAGCACAATTTCACATTTGTAAATATTAATGTTGGTATTTGCGTGTACATGTATATCTGACAACTCTTTGATGGAATCAACTCACAGCAATGCAAGTAACGTTTGTATAACTTTCTTCACATGCTTTCACCTTTAATATACATGTAAATCGAGCTTTAATATAAATAAAATAAAAAAATATGTGTATATTTTGTATCAGCATTTTGAACCACAATAAAAAATATCATGCCAATTAAAAAAAATTCAAGTTCAACAAATGTCTTTCAAATTTTTTTTTGGGGGGGGGGGGGGGCTGATCCCAAAAGGCCAGTCAACACGTACTCTTTCTCCCAGAGTTGTCATGACTTGAGTCAATGACTCAACTTGAGTAAGACTCGAGTCATAATTTTTGGTGACTCGACTCGAGTCCCTAAGGGCAAATGACTTGACTTGACTCGAGTCCCTCATCAGAATGACTCGACTTGACTCGAGGAAGGCTAATGAGACATGTGTCCCAAAAATAAAAGCAAACTTTGCGAAAAAATATTTGCAATGACTTACGCCAGTGCCGGTTTTTGTTCATGTCGCGTTAGAATGTTCGCGAATAATGTATCCGTGGTTTGATCAGTGTCCCCCATTAGTTGAATGGCAATCAGCTGGCACCCTCTTTCTATTTTCATTAAGAGTCAAATGTGGTGTGTCAGTTGTCACCACATGTAATAGCCCGTATTTAAAATTTAAAAAGCCAAAAAATGACTTTCTCTCGTGTTTATTTATTGTATAGTGTTCAAATATTTGTGACTCGAGCTAAATACTTGACTCGACTCAACTCGACTACACACTGTGACTCAACTCGACTCGTCCTTCTTGACCTAATGACTCGACTTGACTTGAGTCACTTCTTTAAAATGACTCGAGTCACTTCTTTAAAGTGACTCGACTCGACTTGAGTCACAAAAATCAGTGACTCGTTACAACTCTTCTACATACCCCACTCACTGTCACTTGTAAATTTGAATTGCCAAGACCCAAAATTTGACTTTACTGGTCCTATAGAGGACCAGTCCTGTTTGTGCCTATCTAACTGACACACAGGGTGACCGTTTGGAAATGGCACAATTCTGCTAGATGCACTTCAAAAATCTGCTCCCCCCTAGATTCAACAAAAATCTGCAAAATCACCCAGAATTACACAAAACACATTATAAACACTTATACTCGCATGCAGATGTTATAAAATTCCTTTAAAAAAACCCAATAGATGCGTGTCTAGCATGCACCTTCAAAAGTCTATAGTAGTAGTACTTTACTCGCGTAGTCCTATGGTCAGGGTACCTTAACACACTTAGACTGGCCTGCCTATCCCTGCTGTTCAAGGTGTTTTTTTTATAAGTGATTGAAAAAATTAAGCTTGTTCAAATAAATGTGCTATATTATTTTCTGCGAGGATCACCGATATTACAGAATTCTGCTTGAAATCTGCTAAAATTTTCTTTCTGCTAGATTTTCTGCTAGATTCTTGGTTTTTTTTTCAAAAAATCTGTCAGATCTCGCAAAAAATCGGCTAAAACGGTCACCCTGCTGACACTTAAGATTTAGACTTGCCTCACCTTGGCCCCCAAAATTGATTGCTCAGATGACTACCCTTGAACCAAATTGGTCCAGCACCTGCAGCTTGCTACTTGACTTAAGTCTTGTTTTTGTGACATTTTCTTTATCTCAATGAGGGTTGGAAGTATCTTGGGTCTAGACTTTATGGGCTCCGTGCACAAGTACCCCCTTAATGGGAGAGTACTCCCTCAATGGTAAGAAAGGGAGAGTTGGGGGAGGAGACCCCGGGCAGAGACATTCGAACGCATCGATGATGCCTGATGCTCATGTGAAGACACTAAGGCTTTGTGAATACTCGGAATAAAATTAGTCGTGTGTATAGGCACTATACGCTGTGGAGCGCTATGTGGTCCAATGGTTATGGAGTCGACTTGTGCCGTGGTTGATGGGTTCGATCTGACCTTGGAACTTGGGCTTGTGTTATGGGGCTTGTGTTCTTGGGCAAGACACTTTACTACAATTGCCTCTCTGCCTGGAGTGTAAATGGGTACGTGTGACGGTAGAGACCGAGCACTTTGCGACCTTTGGTATAAAGTGCTATAAGCACCACATTATCAGTAGTATACGCTCATGAACCAGTACACACGCACGCAGTGTCTCCTGCCCACTGGGCTCTCAATAGTGGTCAGAAAGCACCCTCTGTTTGGTGAACTGAACCCATAAGGCGCAGGAGCATTCAGCCTGAAGCATCATGACGTCACGCTTTGTTTACATGTGCATTCCTGTGACAGCCTGACGTACTATCTTGGATCCATTTATCTTAGATTTCAAGTAATTTACATGTAAATGGCACATTTCTGTACACATGAGGGCGCTGCATCATGTCGGAATAATTCAAGCATGATTCAGTGCGTAAAAAGTTGAAGCAGCAGGGGAATATGGAAAGAGAAGGGGGGGGGATAACTCGTGAAAAGAAAAGTCAAATAAAGGGCAGACTTGTGAGGCTAAACTGAAGTGTAGATAATTTTCTGAAAGGCACACAAGAAGCAGGCCTACTGCACTGGGCTTTTTTAAACGTTGATGTAATATACTCAGCCTGCATATGTGTATTAATTTGAGCTAAATATATAAGTGTTACGGACGTCAGACGAAAGTTGAAATTGGGATATATATACGATATCACTGCTGCAAATCAAATATGATTTATCTGGTGGAATTTTAATCAAAATGACACGAACAAACTTTGTCACAAACTTCATTTACACATAATAAAATTTACATGTACATGTTTCTACAGTACAATAATCTTTTATACATTGTGAGAAAATTATGCTTCAAACAATGGGAAACTTTTACGACTGGTGGTGGCAGCAAACACACCGGACCTTATCAAGCGTTTAAGTTAATGTGCGCATGTTCAAAACAACAGGAAAACAAAAAATGTTTGCTGCCACCAATTGTCTCAAAAAGTCTCCCATTGTACATTTGCATATATATGTCCAAACATTCAGTTGAGTTTCTAGATTTAACACACACCAAAAAAGAGCGCAAAGCTTAAAACTGCCATCAATGCCTTGACAGCATACTAGGAGCATTAGGGCAACATATTACATTCTTTGCAGTCTAAGGAATGCAGTGTTTTAAAACAATTGGCCTATCAAAAATACAACTGCCCATTGTAAACCATGATAACAAAATCTGAACATAAATAAAAGGTCAAATTTCCCCAAGGACTGGTGAGTTTCTCCTTGAAACTACCGGTAAATGTGCTTGATTCAAATTGCATGTACTTTTTCATTTTGCTCACAGTTTAGAAATAAGATCAGACATTTCTGAATTGAAGTTATATAATTAAAATTTCAAAATTATTGTAATATTTTTTGAATACTCAACAGAACATTGGTTTGAATTATTTGTAACATAAGCTTCTCAGTTCGCACTTTAAAAGTGGGCAATGAAACTTCCATTTAAGTGCACATTTTTGGCAAATATAAAAGTGCAAAATCCTTAGTCCATAAAATTGCACAGGGTTTTCAAATTAGAATATCACTAGCAACACAAATTAAACAATTATAATTTGGAATTTGGATAAAGTGCCAGCTATGCTTCTACAGGTTATCATCATACATTTAGTTTGATTACAAAAACTTTTGTTTCAATGACTCCTGACAATCGCTATTACATTGTTTCATTGATACTACTCCCATACACATGCCTCAAAATGGCCCCTCATCCAAATGTGGATATTCTAAGCCATTTTCATTCCGGCAAATGTGCAGTGCGATGTGTATACACAGGTTATCCATGTTTCCAGGTATTGGCTGTTGCTTCAATTCCAAATAGTCAAAGTTTTAACTTCAAAAACTCTCTGCTGAAAGAAGTTAAAGCCATGCGAAATAAGATGGAAAAGTACGTTCATAAACACACAAAGCCCACTGTCAGTTTCCAACCTTGTTAACTTTTAAAAGCACAACACAAAATGCAAAGTAAACTCTTCAAATTGATTGTAAAGAATATGGTAATTCTGAACGGACCAAATAATGTCACAGTTTTGATAACGAAAGACTGCATTTTACATAATGAAAATTCAAAATTAGAATACGTTTAATAATTTTTTAAATGTAACAATTTATACTTGATCATTACACATGCAGTAATTTACAAGTATTACTTTGAAAATTCTTTCTAATTCTTTGTTTTTATTTCAGTTACAAATTTGAGCAGCCGACCAGTATCAAATGTATCAGAAACTGTATAAGAATACTTCAGCAGATTTTTTTCTGAATTATAAAACTACAATTTACACTCAGCCAAGTTTTCACGTTACATGTACCAGTATATAATTGTACATACACATGCATGTGACATTAATTAACAAAATATCATAATTAAGTGAGAACCTCCTTGACCAAATATTTGTTTAAATAAATTCAACTTTTTTTTCACATTCTAGTAGCCATGAACCCAGAAAAACCAGATTCGCAGTATTTCATCTTTTTTTCGGAGGGATCATTGCAATCTAAACCATACTTTTTAGAATACACAAGTGGATTTTGCTAGGATCGACGCACACACACACAGAAACACACAACTTTGCACAATCGTCATTTTCAGAATCTAATTGACATTGGACATTATCAGGAATCTACAGACAATGCCACCTGGGCCATAATGTTTGAAAAAAAAGCATGTTTTAGATTGTTTTAGATCTTGGTCATAAGAATTCCACATAATGTCTTACATTTATGGAGAACATGTTGGAAAGCCCTGTTTGTTTACAACTGTCGCCGCAGGAGTTTTTGGCCTTTGAGCTAGACTTTCAACAAAAAATGGCGCCGCATAAAATGCACTCAATACACTGCGAGATATCAGATCCTATGCGAGATTTGGAATTATACGCATAGCGATCCTAGTGCATATGATTTTGAAAAGAAACTTGTACAACTAGAATGACAAGTAGCATTCCGACATCTTGATTTGTGAGGACCACAATTTTGTACTCCTAAATTCCTGTGCGCAGTAATTACACGAAAAATAACAAAAATTTCCAAATTGTGTGAATGTTCATATTCTACTTTCTAGCAATCTTTCAAACTACAATCGTTTTGTGGTAATCATGTTTTTGAACCCAAATTGGTGCTTTCTCTTGAAAGTCTTTTTAATATCCACAGGCCAAACTTCTCCTTCTTAAAACTCTATTTCAAGTGATATACGTGCAGAACGGAAGAATTTGATGTGGGTGGGTAGGCACGTGACCACGATATGTTCCAGTGTTATGATTGTCCGGTCAGCAATAATAAGTAATTATAACAATAAAATAAAACCAAAAGGAGGGCGGGATCCCGTGCTCATTATATACTGTGGCACTCGTGCTGATTATAAAACATGACTTCAGACATAAATTTTTCAATCAAAAGACCATGGTACATAATTTGTTCATAATCAATAGCGAAACCCCCCCCCCCCCCCAAAAAAAATCAATTACTGTCACTGTGTAAATAAAAAGCTTGAAAAAAACATGAAAATACAGCCTCGTGTCCTGCTAATGTTGATTTCCTTGCATATTAGAAAAAGAAATTCTAAGCTTCGATAATAATCTACATTCATGAATTCGGATTTGCAGCTGTTTTCATAAAAGCACAGCATCTCAACCTGTGGCCTGAAAAGAACCCATTTTCTACTGTATTTGGAGGGTTTTGCATTTGTCTATAATGCCTAGTTTGAAAACAAGAAACCCTAGAGCAAATATGTGTCCATTGAAATGTGATTGTACTCATGGAAAGTACTCATACTCATTTCTCGTGGAAATGTACTCGTACCTATGGGGAAAAATGTACCTGTAGTCGTACTTGTATTGGTACTCATGGCAAGATACTCGTACTCATACTCATGAAAATGTACTCAATTTACACTGATGTACACAGAGGGACAAAAACAATCTCACACTGAGCCTGATTTAGGAAGTCAGACGGACGTTGCCAGGGCTGATTGACGACTTTATTACTCCTCATAATGTTGTGTTGGGTTGCTTCTCACCATTACGTGTACTTTCTGAGGTAAAGTTGAGCCTCTTCTTTGGATTTTAATTCCTGGAAAGAAGAAAGTGGCATATTTAAATACAAATTGAAGACATATAGCATCATTTGCCTTTCATGCATTTTGTTCGTTTCCAATAATACCACCACTCAAAATCCAAAGAAGAATGTTCAAAACCCAACCTGTGGAAGTTTCGGCTCAGTGGATATGACACTTTTCAAGAAAAAGTGAAAAACCATGCTCAAACTTTTGATCACACTACACAATTCCGTTAATGTTAATCTTTAGTTCCAAAGATCAGTCAATTGACTGATCGTTGGAAATCACCTACATTTCTTGATTTCTTCCAAATGACAGCAAGCCAGACAGAATAATTTCACGGGGTGTTTAGTACCAGTATGATCTTTAATCCAAGTAAGCTTTTTGATAATAATTCAGTAGGTTACGTTTGGGATAAATGCAAATGATCCTATATGCCTTTAAAAATGTTGGCATTTCGGGAAAAAAAACAGTAGAACATTACAAAAATCAAATGAAAAGGCTGTACATTTTATTTTAACTGAGACAATTATGCATGTGAAGAGGAACGTGCAATAGGCGGGGCCATTAAGCCCCTCCCACTGCACACTGCATGTTCCAGCCGTACGTGTCATACGCACATGCACGCATGTCAGACTTCTGTGCACACATGCTGACATTAATCACGATTGTGACTGGTCAAAACACCACGGAGCAGACCTTAATGTATCGGTCTGTTGATTTCCTGCAAAGTGCTGGATTTTGGCAGTTGCAGAAAGGTTTCCCCAACTTATATCAGGAGTTGGGATTAACGGTTGAGAGTAAACCACTTACGTCCGCTGAGCTTCCTGGGATACCAACTGCTGTCTGGAACCATGCCACGGCCTTCTTTGTGTCCCGCTTCTGGAGGTAACACTGTGTTCATGCAAGACACATGGCAAAAAAAAAGACTTCAAATTCTCTTCCTGAAAATCTCATCTGATTACAATGGACCAGTGCGTGATCTACTGAGGGGGCCCTGTATGTAACCAATGCATGTATTTTCAAACAATGTGAGATACGTGAGCTGATTCACTCGGCAGGAATATTTACGAGGGAGGGGTCTGGGGCCAGACCAGAAGTGTGAAGTCTTACGTCCCTGGTATCCATGCACCGTTAGAGAGGTTTCGCTGATCTGCTTGTACGCATACGTTTAGCTATCCGTAACCATTATTGACTATTCGTTGTTTCGCACTCTGTGTACATGTATACTTTAGTTATCAGAACCATTATCAATAAAAGCAGTAATCAAAAATTGCAGCCACTGATAGAGTATCTGCGGCTAATCCTGCTTCGAAACACAGGCAAATGGCACATGGGCCATTCTATAAATTAAAGGTCCAAAGTGTGACATTATTCCTGTCCCTGTTACCTTGGTACTTTGTAATTTGCCATTCAAGTTTCATTAAGAATGACTTCAAACAATTGTTTTGTTTGTTGGGTAGGTAGTTTGCTATTCATAATCACTCTTGGAGGATGACTGCATTCACCCTAACCCTCCAGGGTATTTTGGCTAGAAACCCAGCCAAACGCAACATGCAACACTTGTCTAAGTGACAAGCCTGCCCAGTGTAGCAAGATCCATCAGGCCAAAAGTCTCAAGGCCAAACTGCCTCAGAGTCTGTGGTCACCAAATGCAGCAGGATACAACTGTGGCATTGTTCAATGGGATTAGCTCTCATTGTCTCAGAAGCGGCGGTTTATGCACTGGAGTTGGTAGCTGAATGCATCAAAGTGCACCAGACTTTTCCACCTGATGCACTGTGTTGCCTCTGGCCGGGTTAGGGTTAATGAGTGCATCACAATTATAAAATCATAGATATATATTCCGTAGTTCATCCTCTATCAATCAAATCATAAATCAGTGTTGGAGCAAAGGCTTTCACCCTCAAGGCCAAGGCCAAGGCCAAGGCTTTGACCCTCAAGGCCAAGGCCAAGGCTTTGACCCTCAAGCCTCGAGGCCAAGGCCAAGGCTTAACCCTCAAGGCCAAGGCCAAGGCCAAGGCCAAGGCCCTGTTTTATGAAATGACCACTGATATAGAACTAATTATAGTCACATGAGTGACACGTCATCACGCAAGGGCGGATCCAGAACACAATTTGGGGGGGGGGGGGCAAAGAAATTTTGGTCCCCCCCAAAAAAAGTGGGTCAAAAAATTTCGGCTTGGATTTCGGGGCCCGCCTAAGGGCCCCGAAAAAAATTTGGATTCGAGATATGCTCTGTGGTGCGATTTGAGGCAATTTCTGACCATTTTTACCGATGTTTTTTTGAGGAAAAGATGGTGGTGTACTCATTGCCTGCCTTTATTACGACGTCACATTAAAAAAAACGGTTTCGTGTTTTTTTTGGGGGGGGGGGGCAATGGCCCCTTTTGGCCCCCCTGGATCCGCCCTTATCATCACGAATTGCTCGTTACGAAGAACAACATTTCTTTAATTGCAATCAACATGCTCGCATAGGCCTACACCGTTTTATGACTGCACTGTATCTACATGTATTAAAGTATAAGTTCAGGTCTTCAATATGGTTTAACTAGACAAAATAATGATTTACTTCTATATTGACACACAATTCTCCCAATTGTATCAAAAGGGGGATCCGAGAAACTGATTTGGGAATTTTTTTATTTGCTGGCCCAACATGGTCAGAAATATCAGCATTATCTAAAACAGATACATGCAAATCTTTAGCACTTATCAGGGAGACATATATAACCAATCAGATCTATTCCATAGTTATATGCGCCTTGAGCGTCTTTTTTAGACGGATTTTGGCACTATATAAATGTTCTCTATTATTATTATTATATGCAATTAAAGTGATCATCTCATTAGCCCCACAAGTGTACGGAATATTTTTGCAGCAAATCTACTACAATGGTAACAAAATGTGATGCTACAAAAGTGGAAGTGTGCCCAACACACAAATCTATAGGGTGCTTCCCTCCTCCATGGTAATACGATTAAAACGGTAACAGCAAAATTTCGAACAGATTTATCTGGAAAATGCAAAAATCTATGGGCCTTGAAGAGCCTTGACTCAAAATTGCAAGGCCCTGAACCCTCAAGGCCAAGGCCAAGGCCAAGGCTTTTGCCCTCAAGCCTCGAGGCCAAGGCCAAGGCCCTAAAATCCAGCCTTAAGGCAGCCTTAAGGCCAAGGCCCAGCATCAAGGCACTACATCACTGTCATAAATTATTACATAATTTATCAGAAAAGATGGTTAACATCAACAATTTACAGAAAGTGTCACAAGGGATACATCTGTGATGTGTAGCGGATAGCGAGTTGCGTATGACATCACAAGACCACACAACTGATGGCCTATCCGGTGCCCTAACCGTATCCATTCACCTGCGTTAAGAAACCTCTCTAATATCTTACGATAATCTTTGCACCTGAAAAAAGCTCTATATGTAAATTGACCAAAATATTGGTAGTGTCACCAGTGTCAAGGTACTTGTATACAGAGTCAACATCACAGAAGACAGTATTGGGTGGATTTTAGCACATTAAAAAATTCCCAGAAAAAAATCTGGTGGAGTTATGACTTTTTAATATTTTTGGAAAAAGTTTTCCCACCTTTCCCACATAGAGTGCATTCGTGCTGAAGAACTGGGGCTGCAAAGCTTCTGCCTTCAGGAAGTTCTCCAGGGCTTCGTCTATCGTTCCTGACGGCGGCTCCCCATAGAGGGCAGCAGCCGCTTTCCGCAGAATCCAACTCATTGTGGCTACCTGAAAAGGGGAAAAAGTAACACAACAGTCAGGATTTGTAAGATCTGGTGGGGTTTATGCTGTCAAGTGAACCACGAGGGGAAATTACTTTCTGTACGTTTTAGATGGTACTTGAAGTTCGCGCAAGAACTATAGTTGACCATAGTTCGACTAACTTTTGCCCGAACTCTGTCTAGTCAACGGTGGTCGACTACAATAGTCAACTATTTGGAACCAACCTACTGGGGCTGGTTGCATCGCTGGTAACCAATAGCCGCGCGCATTCATAACGCTAGCAGGGAGCCAGGATCCAGAAGTTTTGTGATGACATTTTGACCAGCGTTTGACTAGAGACGCTATCAAGGCACAGGCGTAAGGTACGTCACAAATCAAACACTAGTTGACTTATGGTCCTTGCCCGAACTTGGCCCCGGTGTCGTCTTTGTAAATATCTCACTGACTGATTCGCTGACTGTCACTTGTTAGCCAGGCAGTGCTGTTGTATAGGATTACCCCGTAACGCCAATGAATGGATTTAAATCCGGCCCATTGTGTAGACCAGATGCATGAAAAGACCTTCCAGTAAATAGCCAGTCTGAATCAATTGAGTAGCATTTCGTGCACTCTGGGACCAGCTCTACTGGGCTTGTCTTGTCTTATTAAGTCAATTTTCTGGTGAACATAATAACTTGACAAGGAGGATCCAAACCCTCGGCCTTAAAGTTAATACAACATTTGCTTTTGCTGTAGTTTTCAGAAATGGATGGATTTGGGGGTTAGTTTCTTATTGCAAATATTGTTACATTGACCTGTTAAGAGTTTTGTGTTCATAGAAGCTGGAAAAACCAATAAAAAATACTGTCCTTGTGGTCTGGCTCCCCGACCCTACTTCAGATGAAACGGAGCAATTTACAGACGTCGGGAATTATCAGGTCAGGGAACCAGACTAGTTGGCTTGCACTCGTTCACGGGTGCGTCACCGATGGCAAACAAAATGTGGAATAACTAAATTTGGTAAATTGGGGGCAGTATTTGAAAAAAGGCAATTTTTTTTTCCAACGATGGTCAGCCAACAATCATTGGAAATTGATACAAAAACTCCACTTTTCTTGAAAATGACAGTACACCAGGTGCCATGATTTCACAAAATGCTTGAGACTATTATTCACTAACACTAACAGTCAAGTAACGTATTTCATAATAATTTGGTAGTTTTGGTTTTTGATGTTTGCAAATGTTGTATCTTACCTTTCAGAACAAGCAAATCCAGGCATGTGATAACTAAGAACTCAAAGAGGCCCCCAGTAATGGCGGACACATTGAACCAGTTAACATTAATAATAATGGCCATAGAGCAGTTGCTTTGTACAACAGCTGGCACGATGTTTCCGCCATTACTGGGGGCCGTTGTTAGTGAACTATGACCCCATGCCTGGATTGGTCTACACCGTATCATAACACTTCATCCAAAAATTCTGTATCTTGATTGGCCGACAGCGAGTCACATGGCATTCGCTATTTTTACTTCGCTATTTGTATCTTGCTGTGCACGGCCAAAAAGTCTATAAAACGGCTCAAAAAGTACTATAGCATAGCAACCAACGTAGCAACCCGAGGTCTGTGTGCACATGCATACGGGTGTGCATGTTGCGTGTATTGTTCCAATGCGCTATAAAGATGGGTTCAAACGTTTCATGAAGGGGCAATCTGAATAAGTGCAAGATAATTTTCAACTAATTTAATACCCAAATAAAAGTACATTTTAATTAGATTTTGGTTAAATCGATCAATAATCTCTCAAAATCAAGCATAATCTGTGGGAGAGGTGTTATAAGACAAATATTGACTGCTTTAACTCGTGTTGCAGTAAAACTAGCCTCCCTCGGTGATCAATGGAGGGTTCCATTTCCTTTGGCTATGCCTCAGGAAAACAGAACGCTCCATGGATCACCTCGGGAGGCTATTTTTACTACACCCCTCGGAGCAGTCAATATTTGTATACTACTGTTGCCTTACCTCATATATGTACCTGCCATAGTAGTTATACAGATATGGATCACTGGGACGCAACTCTAAAGCCTTCAACATGTGCTCCTGTTTGAGAGACATCCAAACAGACATGTGGTCAAGACACATTTTCCGGTGAACGGGATTATAATGAACCCTCATGTACACGTACCAAAAGGGAGAGTTACGAAGTTGGAAGGTTGAAACTCAGTATGGTTCCTATTTTGACTCTGGTACCCAACTTGGAAATTCAGTGCAGCTTTTTGAAGCTACAAGTTTTGGTGCAAATGTTGACACACCGAATCCAAAAATCTGATGGTTGTTACTTGCAACATTCCTATCCGCTCCGTTCACAAGTACCCCCCTCACCGGCAAAGAAAGTACAGTTGGGGTGTGACCGACTGACGCCATCTTGCCTGACTGCAATTTTGCCGCGACGCGTGGCCGTACCACTGCGTGAACAAAGTACAAATCCCCTGGTGTACATGCATCACACACAAGGAACGGTGCGCGTCAACCAGCTAAATGTCCCGCCCATGGGACGTCGTTGCTAGGTAAAAGGGCGCCCTCATTTGTTGGTGCACGGAGATCATAGGTTCTTTTAAGTGAGCATTTACAGGTGCTTTTTTACCACTTTCGAGAGCCCAATTGGCGGGACACACCTCGTGTGCTACTTTTTCGCGAAAGTATAGCGCGAAGTACGCTCGACATATTTTATTCTAAATGTGCACAAAGCCATTCCGTCTTTGCATGAGCCTCAGGCGTCGGCGGCAATACGTTCAAATGTCTATCCCAGTGGTCTCCCCCAACTCTCCCTTTCTTACCGTTGAGGGGGTACTTGTGCACATTCAGAATAGAATAAGTTGCGCGTTAGTCCCATGAGGCTCTCGATAAAGTGGTTAAAAATGCCCTCTTGTGCACAGAGCCCGTGACCAGGCTAGTCTGTACTCAGACTGATGCTGGTTACACTTAAGTGCCTAGGAAGACATCGGTATCCAGTAGATAAAGGCTTATCACCTTAAAGTCATATCCCAGCTGGATCTTCTCTTGATTGGAGACGTAGTCTGTGGCCAGACCAATCAGAAGGCTGTACCACTTGTGAGTGTCGGCGTTGTTCTCGTCAATTGACATTGCAGTGAATGCGTAGTCTTTGCCTGTAATGAATGCACAATGAAAGCAAGGTGGAGATGCAATGAAAATTAGGAACTCAAAAGAGTTGAAAGAATCTGGTACAATCTGAGGTGTAGGTTGATTGTAGATGTGCTCCGAAACCATTGGTAAGGAATATGCCATATAGCAGAGCCAGCCAATAGTACTCTCTGCACCCGACTGACTGTTACTTGTGAATTAGACTTGCTGAGGTCTCATCCTGATGTATACGTTTATCCCATAACGACAACGGGATAAGGCAAAACAAAAAAAATACTCGGTCTCTGGTCAGCGCGCGCATCGATTTTAATCATGCGCGTCAACCTTTTATTTTTTTTCAAATTAACACGGAAGCTACAACAGCGCCTCCTTAAATTTTTGTACCAAGGAGCACCAAGGAATGGGGAAATTGTACCAAGGCAAATGATAAAGGGCACCAAGGCAAATTATGGAGGACACCAATGTATAATGAGGACACAAAAAAGCAAAATAGTACCCACCTTGTCTGTACAATACAAGCTTGAAAAAAAAAAAAGCCACCAAAAAAACCACAAAAAAAACGCGTCGCCGCATCAATTCCGGAACTTCGGTCTGACCAGAGACCAACTATTTTTTGGGGGGGGGCCTAATCCAGTCCATTTTATATTTTTTACGGAAAAGCACTGAAAAAAACAGTGCCTACTTGTACCACAAGGAACCAAAAGAAGGATAACAAAGTGCAGTAATGATAACAATAGATAGTGAGATGGCGTGAGTGAGTGCGGACGTGTGTCTAGGTCAACTCCGGCAGAAACTGTATCATTTATCACAAAATCTACGCATTTTTTTCACATTTTCATGCTGCTTTGGGCCTAGAAGTGTCGTCTATAGCCTGACAAGCCACATGCAGGAAAAGACTTCCAGTGAATAGCCAATCGTTTTAAATAGTTAGTATTTACAGGCATCAACATTCCCAACCACGCATTATTTTATTTCATTTATTAAATGTCATTCATAAATACCTAAGACAGTTTACGCATTCCTATTGGTTGAGAGCCCGTCACGTGGCAGGTCTTAAACGGATGATAAAGACATGACTAGCTGGTCTTAAACACTTTTCCAGTGTCACAATAAAATGTAGACTCCTAAAAATCCAGTGCCTCTTATCGTTTCATTGGTTGAACGTTCACAATCCTCACGTAGGCATGCGCAACACTACCAGGGAGTCAGAATTTTATAGTTCTAAATTCAAAACGCAACGCGACATCGCACAGAACATGATACGCGCGCGTCAATCTCCATAAAAGGGTTGTTTACATCTTACTCGCCAGCTGAACACTCAATTATTTTGCAAGAGGGATGTTTCAAAAAGCATAGAGTGAATTTGTTGAACAAAATCGGGATGTTTTGAACGAATTATATGATTTTTTCTTACCGAAAAGGTATTTATGAATGGGAATAAATATGTGCTCCGTCGGTATTTATCACTCTGTTTAAGACCACTTAGAGTCTGGGTGCTGATAATTACCCTCGCCTCCGGCTCGGGTAATTATCAGCACCCAGACTCTAAGTGGTCTTAAACAGAGTGATAAAAACCTCCGAAGCACACATTTATTCTCTTATTTAAAACTCAATATCTGGGGTAAGTAGTTTCAAACAGAATGCTCAAAGCCCTACGTGTACCTTCAAATATCAGTCTCTTCTTGTTCGTATCATCACCATTCTTTGTTGCTACATCTGACGCTAGTAAGTGCGCTTTGGCAAGCCGCCACATGAAGTGAACGTTGTCGGAATACTGTCAACAAATAACAACAGAAATATCAGTGGAAAATACGACACCTGTCAAAACATAAAGCATTTAGTGCAATATTACCTCGACGTACATGCTACATGAATAATTAAGACTTTTTCTCCAAGCATGCCAAGAAGATATTTTGCATTGTGTTAATTCGGGCGACTCACAATGCAGTGCGCCACCAAGAGTTTGCCACGGAGAGTCCATTTTTCAAATTTACGGTCAACAAAACATAGCCCATTTGAACAAGTGTCAGTTGAAAACTTGAGCTAATTTGTTATAGATTGGGGCATAGCGTTCTGCCGCCTTACAAAAAACACCACCACCATATTGATAAAGAGAAAAGGGCAAACATATACTCGAATCATACGCTTACGAAACTACTGACCGAAAATCAAATAGGGGTCGGGGAGTGTTGGGGGTGTTAATGTTACACCCCAAGTATGGCAACGGTCCCAACTAATGTTGGGACTGACAGTCCCAACATTAGTATACAAATATTGAGTGGCTCATAGTGAAATGGGAGGAATATTATCGCAAGGTAAAATCTGGACTTTTCCCGTTCACTCGGCTTCGCCTCGTGAAATGGAAAAGTCCAGATTTTACCGAGCGATAATATTCCTCCCATTTCACAATTTAAAGCCACTCAATATTTGTTTTATATAACTGACATTCATAGATCCTTGTCATTTGATAGATTTGAACTCTTTTCAAATTTCACTACAAAATTGTAGGGAAATGTATTTCTCTCTTCCAAACCACCCCTTCACGAAAAATGTTTGAACCCCACTCCATAGCGCTGGCTCTTTGGAACAATACGAACTACGCGCAACGCTGAACGCGCACACCAGCATGCCTTTGCACACAAATACCGCGTCTTGGAACAAAAACGATCCTAACTGTTCAATAGTATTTCCCATTCCCCATGGGCGGATAGTACTTTTTGAGACCCGGCGTAAATGGGAGTAATAACGAATGTCACGTGATGTGAGTTCCACCAATCAAATGACAAGGATATGTATGTCGGTTATATAATTGGAACCATTGCCATAGTTAGGTCGTAACATTAACAGTCCAATGCAACAAGGTCCCACAGACTTTTACATCTGTTGCACTATACTGCACTTTGCAGGGTTAGGGCTATTGGTGCTGAAACATACTGCACATACCTGTAACCTTTTTGCTAATAACCTATTGAGTGCTGTTTCCTGTTCCTCGTCTGTCCCCAGGAATAATTTGTCCATTTCCCTCAGGAATGCCACCAACTCCAGGTTAGTTTCGCCTTCAAATTCCACTGATTCCTCTGCATCCTTGTATAGGAGAGCTTCGGGTGGTGTGGTGAACCTACAAGTTGTGGTACAAGAATAAACAAAGTTAAAATCGCAGAGAGAGAGGAGGTTGGGAAATCCATTCTTCCAGCAGACGCAATCTTTTGCTCGTACCCACCGCCCTTAAACGTTGTGATCTTGCCTAGCGCGCAGTTGTGAACAATTTAATTGCCGACAGCTGCTTTTGAGATCAAGTGCGGCAAAATCATTGTCACGCGATGCATATCGATTCATGTTTACACTGGTTGCTGCTTGGTCCCTTTATGATTGATACAGTCAGAATATTTGTGGGCAGGAACCAGTTCATGCATACCCTAGTTCCAGACTCTCCACTGTCGTTCGATTATAGTACATTATCATACGTGTATAACATTATCACGCGGAATAACGAAATCGCACTCGATCTCAAAAGATTCTCTCCTCGATTATTTTAGACACTTATTCGAAGGGATCACATTAGTGCGCGCTGGGCACGATCACGATGACGTCACTGCCTTGCCATTCAAATAAATCGGTAGTTCAACTTAACCTTACCTTAGTACCAGTCATCTTGTTTCTCGATCTGTACTGGATCCGGACGTGGGGTATTTGTTTTTTGGCAAAAATGATGTAAAATATGCCCTTTCCGCACTGAGCCAACCTGACACTTGAAACGTGCACGCGCGCAGAATGATCGCAGTCATTTTCGGGTTCGATCGCTCGGAGCGCGCCGCGGGGGGTATGGTGTAGGCGCGGAACGATAGTATGCGCATGCGTACAAGTGCAAGTACGTACCTCCCTTCATCATTTTTGCCGAAAAACAGACAGAATCCACCGATGTTTGTCGGGTGCACATAATGTGGGTATAGCGGTTCTGTGGGAAAGGGCTTGGTTGGGATGGACGTTTTTGTACTTATTTAGTGTTTTGTGCTGACAACAATTTTGCGGGGTTCTGAACCTATGAGGCTCCACTACGTGGAGCCTCATAGTTCTAGGAGTAGGTAGTTGGTACTTATATCGGAAGATATTGAACCCAGCAACTCCAGGATTCTTGATCATGTTGATAGCTTTTTAAAAAAATTTAATACAAAATAAATAAATAAAACCCCAACTGACCCCGACTGACCCTGAAAATTGAGATCAAAAATTATGCTAACCCAGGCCTGTCACAGTATCAATAATCAACAAAGACAATGTCATGAATGTCGTGACTGAAGATAAATTTGAATATGATCTTTTATAGGCCTATCTCATAACACTTTGCAAAATTACCCTTCATAGGCTTCTTCAAAGAATTCATCGTCATCGTCTCCACTGCTTGCGTGTATTGAGATAAAGCCCGAGTTGGTCCTCTTGATCGAAGCACCTTGCGCCGTCAGTGACTCTCGTAATTCCCGCCACTCTCTCTGAAGTGCCGAAATGGCCTCCGTCAACTTGTCCAATCTCGAGTGCACGGACGTGGTTTGTGATCGCAGCCGGTAGGACACAACCGCGCCACTGACGCCCACCATGATCCCCATGCCCAAAGCGGGCAAGATTTCTTTAAAATGTAAATTTGAAAACATGGTGTTTGAGAGAAAACAGTAAAGTTACGCATGCAAAACCATGTCAAGACGATCGCGATAAGATCCTTCGCGTTATCTGGCAATAGACTGGCCCCTTTTTAGTATTTGTACTCATAATATACGATATGAGACTAGTTACTGATCCTACTATCTTAAGTTTGTCGTTGATGGCAGCAGACATTGTCAATAAGAACTGGAACAAGCAGTCCGCTATCTTGCGGCTACGACTTTGTTCTACCTTCGTGCTCTTCTGTGAATATCCGTAGCCATAAACGAAAGTGCCATTTTCGGATACGACCGCGCCAGCAGCTAGCTGGCCGGCTGATGATCAAGGTTACCGATGATCGAGGGACTGCTGACTGCGGTTCAAAGTGCTGCAATTTACTCCCGCAGTTCAGTTCAAGTGTGTTTATTCCGCTGTAGTCTTGCATCCTCCTTAGTATTGATGCGTTGATGAATTAACCTGATCATGCCGTACGTGTTTGTGAGCACCCAGATAAGGCTTGTAAGTATGTGAGCCGTGTTTGTCGATCGTCGAGTACAATGTAGGCTGCAGCATGCAGTGCAGTGAATACCCCAGTGCAGTGCTAGGCCGCTCATACCCTACGGGGCCTGCTCTGAGCTGTATAAATAATGATAGTGGATATTTTGCCGGAGGTAATGACGGCAAACTAACGATTACTAAAGGTTTGCCGGCGGCAATCGATCAATCCATATCAACAGAGGGCGCTGTACTCTTTAAAATAGGGCTGAATTATAAGATGTATTAAATTCCCACCAAAAGTTGTGTAGCACGTTTGGTGTAATGGTTAGGCGAAGTAAAAAAAAAAACATGTTTAGCGTCCCCGCCCGCTTCCTTTTTAGACTAGAGGCCGCCTTTTTTTTTTTTTTTTTTTTTTTTATTTTAAGACAAAAATTGATAAATTTTAACGATCTCTGACGAAAGAAATCATATTTTTAGACTTTTATACCGTGTATAAAGCTGTGGAAATAGTCAATGAGTCCAAGTGGCGGCCATTTTGAAAAAAGCTGGTAACCATCTTGAAAAATAGCCCGGCCGCGTTGTCTTGAAAAATGTGTCGGGCGGCCATTTTGAAAAGAAAAAAAAAAAAAAAGGGCCTCCTCCTTCCTTTTTGTCAAAGAGGCAGGATGCTAAACATGTTTTTTTTTTTATTTTGCCTTAAGCAAAGGCTCTAGTAAGCAGGATGACTCGCGTTCGATTCGGACCGCACCACATTTTAAAAAAAAATTCTCATCCCCAAATAAATAAGAATATTCTTCTTTTATTATTTTAACATGTCTCAAACATTTTTTGCAGAGTAGGGCCTATTACATTTTCTTTTTCAGATTTGTGGCTCTGGAGGATTTTTTTTAAAAGGGAAATAAAGTCCGAAATTATAAAATGGTCAGAATCCCATCTTGTGAATACGAGGTAACAACGATAATTTTGGCATGGAGCCAGACTAAAACTTGTTACCGCAAAATGTTTAAGTACAAAAAAAACAGTAACTGCGCATGTTCAGTGCATATCCGGCAAACTAACGTTTACTAAAGGTTTGCCGTCTCCGGCAAAAATATACACTGCCATAAATAATACACAGCTCTATAGGCTTCAAGCCCCATACTTCTTGGGGTAGGCCGTTCAGACCTATACTAGTACCAGCATATGGTTTAGACATAGAATGTTTGCAACCCGACACCACTTATTTTTCTTCATAGTTTTGTCTCAATGTCAATGAAGCCTGTCATTCGTTGCAAATATGGAAAGATTCCTATAAGCCCTTTATATACATGTATGGTCATCAATAATTTTTCTCTTCAGTGACGTCAGCCATCAGAAAGTGATAATAATATGTCCTAAATTCAAATTTAGCAGGGAAAATATTGAAGTAGCCTAGGTTACTGAGAAAACACTTTAAACAAATTCAGACCAGTCTCATAGGGTTTGTGCACAGCTATGGTGACAAAGGATGGCCAGATTATGATGGAATTTTTCCTCAAAAATTATGATGAGACATGAATCTTGGACTGAGAAACATTTTTCAATTTTGTTAGGAAATACATGTAGGCCTATCAATTTATGTCACTTTAATTTTTGTTTTCGATTATAGATTGATTTATTGAGTAATGTTGACAAATTACATGAAGTTTAATTTACAGACAATACCGGTAACTAATCAATCATTCCTTTGACAATTTAAGGTGAGGTTATTGGTTTTGTATTAATATTTCTTTATACAGTATTTTGTTCTGTAATATACATGTAATGCAAACTAAAAAATGTAAGCAACTGAATAAATGGCACAGTGATAACACAATGATCATTTTCAACATTGAATAAACAAATAAGGCCAAGTAAAAAAAATATACCAGTTTCTCATCCCCGCCCAAATCCTTTTTCCCATCCACCTCCTTTTTTTTATTCATACATTTGCGATAAATTTTGCAAATTTCATCAATATATTGTCGTTTGTTTCCAACAAAATTGTAGGCATGTACATGTAGAAAGGTTGACGTCTCCTATTGCCTATGGACACAATTTTGCATTGAAGAGTCAAGAAAATGGAAGAACCCATTTATGCAAAAAAAGGAGCCTTTTTTCATTTTTAAATAAAGCCCGGATGAGAAACTATTTTGTTTTTACTTGGCCTAATCAAGCGGACCTTATTAATATTTATTGGGACTAATGCTATTTGTATTTTGCAAATTGTGCTTTCCAGTACAAAACAATACTAGTAAAAAATGGGCCAAAATGTCCTAAGGTTGTTCTCAAACCTTTTTTTTTATCAACCCTTTTTTGACTTTGGGTCCAAATTCATGCCTAATAAGCATAGGCGTCGCCAGGATTTTTTCCAGAGCACATTATTTCCCAAAATCCTTGTACTTTCTTATTCTCAATTTATCATTTTTTGGAGGGTGGGCCGGGGGACATTTGCACACCCCACCCCCATTGACACCCCTGCAGACCCCATGTTGTCATGGTTGTTAACTGTCCATTCAATTAACAGCAATATGACTTTTCACCTCTTTTACATGTATTTTGTTTTCCATTATTTTTTTTTCTCCTTTTTTTTCTTTCTCCCTCCTGGCAATACCCATGCTGATAAGTAAATTAAAAGACTTTTTTGTAACAAATTTATACCAATACAAACAGAATGACATGTGGACATCAATTTGATGAAGATGTTTTTTGTCTAAATTTAAATGTTGCTTTGTTTTAACCTCTTGTTTACCGCTGACAGGAATGTGGCCCAACAATTTGCGGCGATGAGCAGTCAGACCCTGAGCTGATGCAGTATCTGGGGGCAACACTCACCAAACAGTTTGGAAACAACTTGTAAGTAAAGCTTGTTTTTCCGGGTCCACATTTTGATCATGAATGCTGCCATTTCAACAGTTTTTGCAATAATTAAACAGATTAAAACCGAAATTTCATTGACCATTCACATTATGCACAAAATATGACATACAGCAATTCCTAACAGCTTTTACTTGATTGGGATTAGAACCAGCAACCACTTGCTTACAAGTGCAGATGTCTTAACCACTCACAACTAATTATTGTTGTTATTATTTATTCGGCCAAATTACAAAATACAAACTAAACAAAAACAACCCAATCCAAGCTGGCCGGGATTGACTAAAGTATAATAAAACACTGTGACTCGAAAGCCTGCTTTGGCCAGATGGTCGAGTAAAGAGTCGTCATTTTTTTTGATAAGGCGAAGTAAAAACAAAAACATGTTTCTTGTCACCGCCCGCTTCCTTTTTGGAGGCCACCTGGATTTTTTTATTATTTTTTATTTTTGAAAAATGTAGTAAAAAAACCCGAAAAAGTCTACAAATTCATCAGAAAATAAATACTAATACCAATACAACTCTAAATGACACTGTAAATATGTTCAGTTCTCTTGTCCAACTTGTCTTTCATTTTTAAAAGTGTCTTTGAACAGTGGAAAACCAACGGTTGCTGGAAATTTTGAAAAGGCGGTCATCTTGAAATATAAAAAATAAAAAATAAAAAGCCCCGCTTCCTCCCTTTTAAAAAAAAACCCGGACGAGAAACATGTTTTTTTTTTTACTCGGCCTAATCACTGGGCATACAGTGCTTTTTTAGGTACATGTACATGTACCTTCATAATGTAAAATTCAAAGTGTTTTGAAAACTAGTGCAAATATCACACTTGACGCCCAGCCCCCGGAAAAAGAACAGCTCTTTAAAATAAATATTTCATCTTAAAATAGGGTGGCAAAGATATCGGAGCAAAGATCAGTACTTGATATATCAGACATCCTTTTATCTCATCAATAATGCTCAGCTTTAGTGGTGGGATTTAAATCCGGATTTTTTCAACATTTGGTTTGAATTTCACTATTCAGTTTCGATTTTAGAAACCAGATATTCGAAACCAACCTTGAATTTTTTTTTAAAAGCCTACCATTTTTTGCGACACAAGCTAATGAAAACAACTGTAACATGCCCAACTTGCTCCATGGTCTCTGATTGTAACTGCATTCACTTGCTCCATGGTCTCTGATTGTAACTGCATTCACTTGCTAGTGGTCTTTTTGGTATATGAATCAGTCCTTCTGTTTTGAGGCGTGCGATCACACCCCCACGCAATCACACGCCTAAAAGCTTCCCGAGAAGTGCAAATAATCGCACGCCCGAATCCCTCTGTACCGCACACCTCGGGATACATTTACGGCATCAAAACTTCATAATTTATTGGAAAAAAGTCTGTCGGTGAAGAGAAAATGGCTTTCAACCAAGATGAATAATGCAAAAAAAATATATCAGATTGTTCAGAAAAATCCAGGTTTGCCTTTTTTCACACGCTTGTAATTTTCAAATCAGAAGGACTGATGAACAGCCTGCCCATTCGACTTACCACAGTGGGACTATGCTCATGTTTTGGGGGACTGCACTCTATGGAAGGAAGGAAGTTCCCATCAACATTATGGCTCTGGAGTGTTTTTTGAAGGCCCAGTAGTCATTGAATCCTGCAAACTATACCCAGTCATTGAGAGGGCTTTTCATGTGGCACCTCACTTGCCACTGTTTGTTGTGCATGACTGTGCGCCGGAGGGGAACTTCCGGTGAAATCAGATGTTACCGTTATTCGGTTTGAAAAAAATTAGGATAAGGCAAAAAAAAAAAAAAAATACTCGGTCTCTGGTCAGCGCGCGCGTCGATTTTAATCATGCGCGTCAACCTTTTTTTTTTCTTCAAATTAACACGGAAGCTACAACAGCGCCCTTTATTGTCGCGCCTCCTCAAATTTTTGTACCAAGGAGCACCAAGGAATGGGGAAATTGCACCAAGGCAAATGATAAAGGGCACCAAGGCAAATTATGGAGGACACCAATGTATAATGAGGACACAAAAAAGCAAAATAGTACCCACGTTGTCTGTACAAATACAAGCTTGAAGAAAAAAAAAAGCCACCAAAAAAAAAAAAAAAAAAAAGGCGTCGCCGCATCAATTCCGGAACTTCGGTCTGACCAGAGACCGACTATTTTTTTTTCTGGCCTAACCTGTTTTAGAAATCTCCCAGCACTAGCTCAGGTCATGTTGAAATGGCATGTGGACATCCGGTAGCTTCAAACAACATACATTGCCTTGTCTAGTTCCCAGACCTATTTACTTCAAACTCAATGGTCTGGAGTGCTGAAAAGCAAGTCATCGCAACCGGTGAAAACTGGCGTGGAAATGAATAGATGTTTTCATCAGGAATCCCCCCCCCCCCCCACTTTTTCGTGATGAGAAAAACAAAATGCGGATGTTGAGGTATTTTTCGAACATCCCAACAACCCAAATGTATTCAATAGCACTGAAAAGTAGAGAAATAAAGTACAGTTTAAGCTTTTAAAATGCGCTGTACATCTATGTCCCCGCTTTTCGAATTTCCACGGCCGGGCAATTTGTGGATTTTGGTCTCCCCCCCCCCCCCCCCCCCCCCCCGCATCTTATCTTTAGCGACAATGTTATAACCCTGACCAAATCTCCAAAAAAATCACCACCTGTAATAGTCTGTCATGTTTGCAAGATTGTGAGCAATTTGCGAGTGATCTTTACCCTTTGGGATTTAAATTTGAAGAACATCTGGTACACTGACTTGCTCAGAATGCTTGGCACATTTTAACTGTGAATTCTCCAGACCAAAGACACTGTTGCTAATCACATGATTCGGGGCGAGCTCTTGCATAGTTACGTAAGAGACGCTCAGCACCAATACATTGTTCACAATGGGTGAGAACTGAGAATGGCATAAAGACACCAGACCATGCTGGAGTTACCAGCATAAGGCTTGCCCCGAATCACGTGATATAGTAACAGTCACTTTGGTCGGGAGAATGCAAAGTTAAAACGTGCAAAGCATTGGATTAAGTCAGCATTCCAGATGTTATTCAAATTTAACTCGCAAATGGCTTAATACAGGGTGTTGAATATGGTAGTTCATGAAAGTTCCACAAATATGCCAATAAGGGTTAAATGAACCAATTTTACTGTCAAGTAAGGCCGAACAAAAACCTATCAAGATTCACCCGCCTGCCTGCCAGCCTTTCAATACACATTGTGCATAAATTAACGTACATTGGCACAACCAGCTGTTCATTTATAAAAATTTAAGGGCAAAGTACATACATGTACATGTACAGTAGTTAAAGGGCAAATTAGCATGACAGTTTCTATTACATGTACAGTATACAAACTATAAAGCTGATTTAAAAAAAAAAGAGGATTTTGGCCATATGGTATTTCATGTCTGCAGAGTAATACATGTACATGTACCGGTACATGCACATGTACACAATGTGTACTGTATGAAAGGATACATGTCCTGTATATGTGTGATCGGTGATAGCAATTTTGGGGGCATTAGAATTTGCAATAATGTGCCAGTAATATGTCAGTTATACACAATGTACGCAATACAAATTATTTGGCCAATGTGGTCCAAAATGGAACCCGTTATTAGAGAATCTACACGCAAGCTCTCGAGTAAGGCATTAATTGCGTAGAATCAGGCGTGAGATTTTTCAAAATCTGAGAGAAAGATATTATTAGTATCGAACATCTTTCGAGTATCTTCAATTTTCAGACTTTTTTTATAATTAACAATCTCATCCCTGCAGAATGGAACCAATACCCTTAGACATGTACACCAATATTTTGAAGTTCTTTGTCTCTAGGGGTCGCCATTTTGAGCCAACACAATCCCCTTACCATGCGCACAATAAAATAAACTGTTACGTAAGCTTTCAGTGAAAGAGTTTAGTGAAGAATCAATTGCTTGAGAAGATGGTCAAGTTTACAGTTGGCGACCTCACAGTCAAAGTCGGGATGAAATACCCTACGGGCAAGTAGTCTAGAAGGTAAATAAAATATGTTTGCATGATGATGTACACTTTCTCTGTGTTTAAAGTGCCTTTTTCAAAACAATCTTTAATTAATAGCAAAACTGAGAAATAGTTTCAGAAATCATAGAAGTGATGGAAGTTTGATGGAATCAATATGTCGTAACAATTTATAACTTCATACACACATCAGAAAGTCAGAATTGTAAACATGATATAAAAGCTCGAAAAAATTGGCGAATGAAATAAACAAAATACACCATATAGTTCATGCTAACAACAAACAGGCCTATTTGTAACCACATATATTTGAAGCTAAAATAGTCTTTCCCTTTTAAGAATTGAATACTAGTAAATATCTACATTGTATCAATATGAAATTAAACTTTTAATGATACATTTTGTTAGCTTGGTGAGAACAAGCAAACAAGTTTTATTTAGTATGTTTCTTTAAAGTATTACAAAAGCATCAGAAAATGGTCTCGATCCGAAATCTTCCCAGCACATTTAAATATTAAAGTTGGCAGGTAGGCTGGTGAACCATGATTCAATATGTGGGGTTATTTTGCCCAGAAAACTTGAGGGGATTCCTATTTACAGCAGATATTTTGATACAAAGCTTGCCTGATAGGCTTCCCTAATTGGACAAATTGACATTTTATTGCATAATCATGGCCAATCTCTACTCTCCCTGACCCACTCCACAGCCAGCAGTACAGCACCACAGACATACCAAGAAAAGTGCTCGACAAACTGGAGGGGCGGGGCTACAAAGTCATCAGCCAATCAGGAGCCGGGCAGACCATGATCTGGACCTTGCATAAGCCGCTGCCATTGGCCAATGGACCTTCAACCGAGGAAGGGTCACCCTAAGATGCTACGGACCCTGTCTCTTCATTCTCTGGGATTTTTAGCTTGATGTACATAATGGGTTGACTCGATTTTCTTCCAGATTTTTATATAAATGTATTTCGTCATATTATGATATTCCTTCAGTACTGACCTTGTGCGTAGCAGCAATCGTAGAGGGCAATGCCTTTTGTGTATTCATTGTTGCATTCATTCATTGGTATTAAAGTAACAAAAGATGCCCTCTAAGATCGCCGCTAGGCGGAAGGTCTATAGACTCGTAACGTGATTAGATAATATTTTAGCAATTATGTAATGAATGTAAGCATTATGGAGACACACTATACTATAAGTAAGTCATGAAAAATACAGATCTGTACTGAAAGATGTACAGTCAATGTTCATCTGAGAGAAATCTATTCACGGTATACTTCCAGCTATCAAATGAAAAAGGACAATTTCCACCAGATAAACACTTTTAAGACATTTCTTAACACAGACATGGCATGGACATACAAAAATTGTGCATTCTTGCTCACTATAGTTACATCATTTCTTTTGAAACTAGGATTTTTCCAAATTAAATTAATGTGATATATTGCATTCTGTCTCATTTGATATCTTTTAACTTTAGCACTACTGAGCATTAGCAATTAACTAGGAACTTCTGTTCCGAGGTAAAACTTGCCAAGTTGTCAAAATCTTCAGCATTGCTAGAAAATTATAAATAAACTGTGAAAGTTCATTCGCAGAATGATAGGCCCATGTATACATCCAAAAAGCTCACCTAACATGCCTAAACACATTCCAAAACATGTGTGTGAATTGATCTGTGATTTGTCTCTTGGCAAAATTGACCAACATCCGGCTGTTTCTGAATTTCAATTCCAAAGATAAAGTCAACGAAAGCGCATGTGGAACAGGGTGAAATGTCACGTGGCTGTTTTCCATTGGTTACACCACGAAAGGCTAATCAGCATTAGAGGAGACAGTCGCACAGTTGCCAAAAAAGTGGAATTTTTTAATTCAACAAATTATTATTTATAAATTCAACGAAAGCGCATGTGGAACAGGGTGAAATGTCACGTGGCTGTTTTCCTTTGGTTACACCACGAAAGGCTAATCAGCATTAGAGGAGACAGACGCACAGTTGCCAAAAAAGTGGAATTTATTATACATCAGTGGCAGATCCAGCATATTTATGGAAAGGGGGCGTGCCGAAAATGGAGGCGAAACCCAAACATACAAGCGGGGCACATACATTTTGAAGTGATTAAATAACCAGTTTACAGCAGAAGAAACAGGCAAAAAAAAGACAGATGTTCCCTCCCCCCCCCCAAAAAAACATACTAAAAATACCCCCACAAAATGTCAAAAATAGGGGGACGCACGCAGGCTCCACCCCCCTCTGGATCCACTACTGTACATTTATTCAGAGGCAATCAAGAAAACACCTGTACATGTACATGTACCTTGAAGCAGGAAACCTAATAGCATTATTTTAAGGATTCTCTAGATCAAAAGACTTGTTTCCTTTTTTTTGTTACAACTTTTTGCACTTTTTAGACATATTTTCGTTGCCAGGGTAATCCCAATGTAACCATCACTTTGTTCCCATTAACTGATACCTGTTTTATTTTAAATTCTTAAAATATGTTGAGCAATTTTTTTTGTTATTATTTACTTACACGTACATGTAGATTTAGTTGTGAACTTCTGTTACCTTTAATTTTAATGCATGGAAATTCTAATTTTCCTGTTATGAGTTTTTACTCAGATAATAATCGTCAGTCACGGTATGGCTTCTTTTATTCTGTTCTTTTTGCTTATATTGCCTTTTATACAAATATTGACTGCTTCGAGTGGTGAAGTAAAACTAGCCTCCCTGGGTGATCTGTTGAGCATTCTATTTTTTCCGAGGCTAGACAAAGCTGAGGGAAAGTAGACTGCTCCATGGATCACCAAGGGAGGCTAGTTTTACTACAAGCTGTCAATCTTTATTTTATAACACCTCTCGGACAGATTCTGCTTGATTTAAGCGATAACTGATTAATTTAATTGCAACAATTAAAATGTACTTCTATATGAATACAAAATTAACTAGAAAGTTACTAGCACTTTTCCAAATCACCCCCTCACAAAATGTTTGAACCCAGCTCTGTGGCACTAGTGCTTGGTAACGGAACTCGCAACATGCACACCCGTATGCATTTGCACACAATACAGGTTGCTATGGGTATAGTACTTTGGTTGCTACAGTTAAAGTACCGTACTTTTGGCTGTGCACAGCAAGATAGCAGAAATATCGAATGCCATGTGACTAGCTCTCGGCCAATTGAGACACAAAATCTATGGGTGAGGTGTTATAAAATAAACTATTGCTCTAAGCATGCAGTAGACAAACAGAAACATACAGTCGTGAATTTCTATCCGCCCAAGGACTATGCTTTGTGTTTCCCTTTGACCCTGTAATATAGACACTCTACCATAGTCTAAGCACATAACCGTACGATAGAGGACCGTTTTCAACAAAAGACACAACTCCTGAGGACTGAAAAGATCTTTTGTTCTCCCTTTGTGTGTCTGTCCTCTATCGTAAAGCCATACACGCACACACCCACAGTCGTTTTATCCCTATACTTAAATTATAAGGACTCCTTATTGTTCCCTCCTCAACATGTCCCATAAGGTTTGTACACGAAAACCTCCCGTTATCGCACACAGGGTAGACTGGTTCCTGCCCCCTATCAGAATCGATAATGTTGGACCATGAACCAGTCTACTTGCAGAGCAGATCTTTTGGTGCGCACAAGCTGATTAAAATTAAAGGCTTTTTTTTGGCAGAGGGATGTAGACTCCTAAAACAAAACATACCAGCCGAAAATGCATTAGGAGAAAATATTTAATTTGTTGAAGAGTGTCGACAGTACATGTACATGTTTATGGAAAGGCAGTTTTATTGTTAAGTGTGTACTGTATATTTTGTGACATGTACATGTATTTATCCCAAAGTCAGGATTGTGGGACAGTATTGTAAAATAGGACAAAATCGTGCTTAAATTGAAGTGAAATTATTCATATATATACATACATGTACATACCCAATATATTTGGAGTGTACACCTAGTGGTATTATTATGTATTTTTGAAAATTTGGCTAATTTAAGCCAAAAACATGCATAATATATTTCTATTATGGTGTATCTGCTATTAAATGTACATGCCGATCCAGTTTAAATTATATCAAGTAGTCACTACATATTAAGTACTCACTATTCATGTACAATATGTTTTCTGAAAAGTACTGCATATTAAATTTGATAAAAGACATAGAGAAAATAAAGCCATGTTTCATCTGTGCCAAATGTGTTTCCAGGATTGGTTATTCAATGATGTTAGTATGTCTGTGGAAAAATCCCCCCCCCCCTGTCAAAGATGGCCTGCCCTTTTACATGTCAAGCAGGGATAAGAAGTGTTTTATCCTGTTTCCATTTAAAAAAAGAATTGATGATTGTATGTTTTGCCAAAATTAAGTTTTAGAAATGATGCAAGGACAGAAATAAAATTAATTCTCAGAAAGATTGGTGGCCTTTTGTCTAATTGTGGTGGCTTTTTGTTTAATTAATCTGTGACTGCATAGTCTGCTGAAGAATGGTAAAACAACAAGCTAATTCAGACATAATGAAACCAACCCATCAAGATTGAACATTTTCCTTTTAGGGTGACTTGCTGTTTCTATCCCAAATCAAATATACAAGTAGAACTACCAGCAAAATTAGAAATAAAGGTTCTTGTATGTATTGAAGCAAGTCCATTGAAAAACAATTTCGGAGAACAAAATGTTTTTTTATGCAACTAATGTGTGGGATATGTCTCCATCTTCTTTAGATATGGGGAGTGTGGCCTAGTGGTTAGGGTTTGTGACTCGTGGTCAGGGGGTCAGGGGTTCGAATCAATCTGCTGGTCATTATTGTGTCCTTGGGCAAGCCACTTCACCCCCACTTGCCTCTCTCCACCCAGGAGCATAAATGGATACCGGCATTAACTGGGGAGTAACCTGCGATGGACTAGCATCCCATCCATGGGGAATATAAATATTCTCAGTCGTTTCATGCCGAGGAAACCGGAGATAATGGCCTGATGGGCCCATTGGCTCAGGACAGACTCTCTCTCGCTCTGCTTTCTTTTATTATAATATTGTGGATTGCAGATCTACCGTAGTTACTGCTACCCTCATAGAATTATGGACATTTAATTTGATTTGATTCGTTTGATTTTTGAAGTCAAACTTCCCAGTCAAAGTAAGGAACTGTCTTATTTGTTCAGCCATTTAAATAGACATCAAGATAAAGTTGGAACACTCTGCCAATGTTGCAATGTTAATTTTAATACCACATAACTGAGAATTAATTATCACAAATGAACAACTTGGCCTGCTGAACGCTACCCCACCATATACCGCCATGTTTAAATAATGTTGGTCCTCGTTTTTTCTTTCTTTCTGTAACAGCAAAGAATGGAGGTCAGAGTTGCTGCCTAGAGTGGTGCTGGACAGGTTGGAGGGCAGGGGTTATAGGGTCATCGCTGCGACGGGAATGGGTCAAACAATGGTGTGGACGCTGCACAGGAAACGTTTGGAGCTTACGTGATTGCCGGAGAAATGAACTGCTGATAAGTGGATACTACAAATTACGACAGACATACATGTATTTCTTACAGACAACTTCACTTTGTCAGTACTTATTGTCTTCAGTACTGAACATATGCACAAAAAAGTTCATTGAAAACTTACAAAGTTTTTAAAACACAAAATATTTATCTGACGATGAGTACAATTTCTTGAATTTATTTTGAATTTTTAAAAGTTTTTTAAGTTAGACTTTGATTTTACATATTTGCTGATAAGTGATATGCCTTATTTGTACAACCTTTATCTCATAAGTCATTGCTTGCTTGGAGATGGCAAGGACTGCGCATATAGGTAGCATGTAGACCAGATAGTACACTAACCCTAAGCCCTCCCAAATCTTTCAAAATCCATTAAGATTTTGTAGGATTTAGGAATGCACAGTCTTGCCCATATTACTCTACATGGAACTTAATGCTCCTCGATAAAGAATGTGCCATAATGGAGTCCTGCATATACATGAAGGGTGGATTTTGGAGGACACAGGAAGGTTCCAAACAAAATGCCATGAATGTGTAGGGAGCTACCTAAGGATCAACATGATTTTTTATGCTCAGTGCCAAAAAGAATAGATATGACAGCAGTCATGTGGGATGACATAGCACCCAACGACCGGTAGGGGTGAGATTGCAAGATTTTGCCCTTTGAAGCACATAGGATCATTTGCAAACCTTGATTGAAGATAGGACTGGTATAATACCCTGTAAAATTATTCTGCCTGAAATGGTATCATATTTGGAAGAAAGCTCTAACATTGAAGGTGGTTTCAAAATAGGGTGCCATTGGCACTTTTTGATACGTGTCAGCAACAGAATGCAGATACAGAACCCAAAAATCGTGCGCAAGTTTACTGTTTTTTCTCAAAATGCATACAGGTGGTATGCACTGAGCAGAACATTTAACAGGATAATTGTTACACACCCTACTTAAGATTTGGAGCAAATTTGTTGCGTCAAACAAAACAATCCACAAGAGCAAATGATCCTGTAATGTTTTAGATGCCGTGGGCTCTGTGACAGCTTTTGAGAAAAATTTCAATTTACTGAGTGGGACTCGAACCCATAACCTGGTATCTCCAGTGATTGGCATCTTGTAAGCATACAATAAGTTCCAGCCTTGCGGAGTATTAGCTTGTACAGTGTTTTCCCCACTCTCTTCCCTAGATATAGACTTTTTGTATTAACGAGAGTCAACTGTAGTTAGGTTTCAGTCAATATTCCTTTTGAAATTCCCTCAAATGATTGGACATGTTCTTTTGTTGAACGGTGCAAACAGCCCTGTATTGGACTAAATGAAAACAAATCGTTTTATGAATATCATTGTTGTGGTTACATGGTAAACTGGGGGTGGGAACATTTTATATTTGAATGGTAGGGGTAATTATAACATGCCCACAGATTCTGTATCTTGATAGGCCGAGAGCGAGTCACATGGCATTCGCTATTTTTGCTATCTTGCTGTGCACGGCTAAAGGTACTATATGGGCTCCGTGCGCCAACAAAAGAGGTGCGTTTTTACCACTTTTGAGAGCCATGTGGAAGGGACACACACCGAGTGCGTACCATACTGTACTGGTTCGCATGCGAAGTATGCACGACTTTGAATGTGCCAAAGCGTGAGCGTCAAGCGTCATCGGCGCACGAATGCGTTCAAATTTAACTTGCGATGGTCTCCCAGACTAATTCCCACCCCCAATAACTTTGGATCATTCAAAATACGCAGAGGATGGGAGCAGGAACCAGTCTAGGTCTTCCCCAACTCTCCTTTTCTGGCTATTGAAGGGGTACTTAAGTGCAGAGCCCATACCCGTAGCAGCCAAAAGTACTATACACATAGCAACCAAAGTACTATACTCGTAGCAGCCAAAGTACTATAACTGTAGCAACCAAAGTACTATTACCGTAGCAACCAAAGTACTATAACCGTAGCAACCAAAGTACTATACGCCTAGCAACCCAGTATTGTGTGCAAATGCATAGGGGAGTGTGAATTGCGCATATTCCCAAGCGCTATATAGGGCTACGGAACTGGGTTCAAGCATTTCGTGATGGGATAGTTTGGAAAAGTGCTAGTCAAGTTTCAACTAATTTCGTATTCAAATCGAAGTACATTTTAATTGCATTTAGATTAAATTAATCAGTTATCGCTTAAAATCAAGGAGAATCTGTGGGCGAGTTGTTATAAAACAATATTGACTGCTTTATCTCGTGGTGTAGTAAAACTATCCTCCCTCGGTGATCCATGGAGCATTCTATTTTCCCTCGACTTCGCCTCGGGAATAAATAGAATGCTCAATGGATCGTCTCGGGAGGCTATAGTTTTACTACACCACTCGAAGAAGTCAATATTTGTACTCTATGTAACCTCTCCTGAGGACGGATGGAGTACACACTGTCCAAAAGTATGAGAGCATTCTAAAACTAATTCTTGTAAATTAATCCATGTTACATTGTGTAACGGTAAACCCTTCTTATATAAGTAACAGTTTACTGAAATGTGTCACATTATTATTTATGAAAAATGAATGCAACCGCTGTAAACTGCACACTGACTGGATTGACCTGAAATATACAAATCAAGAGAGTTGTAGGGCCTGGCGTTTCTATCGTAGCGGGATCTTGAGAAAGATCCTGCAGGCATGAAAACCTCAGAACCTCCAACTGAATTATTCAATGCAACAGTATGCAAATTCAAGTGTGCAGGATACAATTCTTTGGATAAAGGTGTTTCCAATTTTGTGTACATAATAAAAAAAGACTTTATGCCATTTGTGCCTTAAATTTGTTTTATTTTAATTTCTGATTTCTCTGTGTTCCTTTCATGCTCTGTATACATTTGTAGTCCTGATATGCAACTTGCAGGTCTCACAGTAAGGCATCCTCAGTAGGGTAGTTTAGGGTAGTTCACTATAGATGGTACAGCCTTTGTACCGCGCCGCAGCATTCATCTTCCCATCCACAAACGTTGACGAATCGCATGCAAACAGACTGTTGGCATGTGTGTTACGGGCGCCTGCTTCGGTGAATGGCTGCACAGTCCAATATTGCGCACTGTAACATCGCACCAAGACTAGCCTCACATCAAAGCCTTTAAAACCTATAAAAACGTATATGTCAACTTGGGAGCTTATTTTATTTTTAAGTAACGTATATTCGGTCTCTGGTCAGGCCAAAGTTCTGGAATTGACGCGGCCACGCGGCTTCTTTTTTTTTTTTAATTCAAGCTTGGATTGTACAGACAAGGTGGGTACTATTTTGCTTTTTTGGTGTCCTCATGTACATTGGTGTCCTCCATAATTTGCCTTGGTGCTTTCGATCATTTGCCTTGGTGCAATTTCCCATTCCTTGGTGCTCTTTGGTAAAAAAAAATGGAGGTGCGGAAATAGAGTGCGCTGTTGGAGCTACCGCGGGACATTTTGAAGAAAAAAAAAGATCGACGCGCAAAATTAAAATCAACGCGCGCGCTGACCAGATACCGACTTATTTTTTTTTTGGCCTAAAAACCTATATTTTTATTCTGGCATACATGTTTATTTCGACCCTTTTTATAGAAAATTTTAAGAATCAATTTGACCCAGAGTTTAGTTATCGTAAGTCCAAAATAACCACGTTGTCAATATAGGCCAACCTCTCTAATATTGTTTTACAAGTGTTTCAGAATTCGGAAGTTTGCATGAAGTTGATTTTAGGTAGCTTTGTCTAGTGTGGAGAACTTGAGGTGAGCAATTTGTCTGCTATCTCGTGCTGAAAATTGTACAGCTTTGCATCCTAAAAGCCTATACATGTGTAAATGCCTATATTTTGGCGCTGCGAAAACCTTTAAAAAAAACCTAACGTTTGATTTTCAAAACTTATTAGACACTTACATGTATGCTGATAAAGAGGGGTACTGTGAGGCCTGAACATGGGAAGTAACAATCAGCCAATCTCTATCAGGCCAAGAACAATACATTTGACAGTGTCAGAAGGGGAACCAAAATCAGTTCATTTTTGAAATGCATGTTCAATTGTTTTGCCAGAAATGACAATTTGAAAAAAATTCAATAAAACATTTGTTTTTGTGAGACTGCACATAACCCTTTACTGGATATTGAATTAAACCATGATTTTCCAAAAATAAACGTTAATCACTTCCATAATTATTGGTGCCATCTTGCCATATAGTTTGACTTGGCGAAGACCAAGACAAGAGAAGAGATTCAGACATCATGAGACATGGCCTAACTGTCTACAAAATGCCAGAATTAAGATTTCTCAGGATAAAGAAACAAACAAATCCGGCATGCAAAAACACGTGTTCAGCTCAGCTCAGTTCAGTTCATTTTATTTTTCCACTTAAAAATTGATGAAAAGAATTACCAAAATCTCATGTTACAATAAGTGGCGGAGGTCTCCAAAAAGCATAGCTTGTGTAATTATATTCAAACATTTGTGTCGCATACCGAGGATTTCCTACTGAAATAGCCACTGATAATTGCTGCCATGGTTTTAGCCACATGTACACAAATGATACACAGCAAATATGGCTGCCTGCAAAGTCACTCAAGGAAATCCCTTTCCTGGTTTACAGTTGTATTTTTTCGCTGTGAAGCCCGAGATGCTTCCTATGCACCCATGCAAGACATGTAGCTCTTGATACTAGGGCCGTTTTCCAAACCCCGGCTTCGGTTTTGGCTCCGTCTCCGGCTCATTGCCATACTGCATGAATGAAGCCAGAGACGGAGACGAGACCGGAGTTTGGAAAATGGCCTATGACTCCTCAGCATCTTCTTTGGCCATCTGCTCTATCAACCTCTGCCTCTCCGCATTCTGCCTCATTCTCATCGATTCCAAACTCTCGTAATCCTTAGCCTGGGCTCCGCCCGTGTTGGAAGTCACAAAAGTTGAGCGACCTGTGTCGGCTTGCCCCTCTGTGGGGACGCTATCATCCTCCGGACAAACTCTTTTAACTCCGCCCACACTTGAGCGTAAATCCTCAGCCGTCCGTAAGTCATCTTCGGTGTTCCTCAAATGCTGTTCCTCAGCTGCAGAAGCATCAGTATGGCGGCCATCTTGAACGGTTGATTGTTCTACATTTCTTTCCTCCTCGGCATGTTGTGGAGTGGCCTTTTTTGGCTGTCTGGCATTTTTCAACCTCTGGAGCACCATGGATTCAAAGTCTGCATCTGTTGTGGGGGTGGGCTGCTGTAAGAACAAAATGGTTGGTAACTGATTAAAGAAGAGAGGACCAATACCAGTAGGCTATTTTGGGAAAACTTGTGATGTTTATTATGTATCTCAAATTTGCTAAGCAAAACAGAGTTTAACTTTGCATGTGATTGCAAGACAAATAAATTTGATGCAAGACGAAGTGGTATCTTTTGCTTGTGTATGACACCTATTAAGGGGGAATTACAGAGTATGTACATGTACAACTTCTTGAATGTTAGCTGTTCAATCTCAAGCATGGACCAAGCTTGAATATGGAAAAAAAATCACTCATTTTATTTTGTATAATTCACAAAAAATGATCTGGACAAAATAATGATAATTATAGCTGTTTTCTTGAATGATTTCTTGATTGCATACAAATTACATATATTGATTCCGATTGATGTTTTCTTTTATGTATTTATTGATTTATTCAATTATTAAAAAAAAAAAAAAGATATAGGAAAAAGGCTAAAAGCTAGCCAGCAATAACATATCAATGGAATGGTCCTTACCTGTGTTGATGAGCCTGATGCTACTGCGGATGGCTGGGGCTGACCTGACAGCCATGATAGCTCCAAGGGATTGCTACTCAATCCCAACTCATTTCTGACTGCAAGTTCCTGTAGAGAAAAAATAACATATTGAAATAAATGGGTTTAGTCGTATTCTTAACACATAAGCTACAATGAGAAAACAACTTTAAAAGTAGCAACAGCATCAACCAGTACAGGGTGAGTCAGAATGATCTTTAATATTGTTGTCAATAGAGTATATTGGAAAAAAAACAACTGAGAGTTTTTTTTATGATTGGTTATTACCTTATCCCTATGGGAATTTTGAAATGTTCATAATTGTTGGCTGTGGTGAGGAGTTGCCATTTTCATGGAAGTGGCTCATTTTCCAGTCTGGACACGGAATTGGTTTTACCTTAATTAAATCAGTCACCCATGACTAGGTTTTTGTTTATTATTCACTGCTTCAGATGCAGTCACATGAGTACACGATTTCAATAAATTTGTTGAACCATGGAACCGTGGTCAGAGTGTTTTTTTAGCGTGTGTTCTTTAATAGCACTTTTCTTCAAAATGGTACAATGCATAAACATGAAACTTTCACCAAATATGTCCAAAATACCAGCCTATAATATACTTCATTTGCAATTATTTTGATAAATGTTACTTATTTTTAAAATTTATTTTAATTTGGGTCCAGATCATTCTGACTCACCCTGTAGTTGCAGCTGCATCACCAATAAATATAGCAGCAATATGGGCTTATAAAAACTTATATCAATATATTAAGACTATCAATTTGTGAGAACTTCCTTCCTTTCTTCCTAAACTATCCCCCAACCCCTAAGACTTGCGAAGGGACAGCAGTTCAAGAGAGATAAGAGCTTAAATCAGCACTTACTGCAGCCCTGGATGTACCAAACTCCACGACGGCACTCCCTCTCTTCTTGCTTGACACCAGCAAATTTGTAATTGAACCGTACTGAAACCAAAAAAAGGAGGGAAAATAAGTCTATCATGTGGGGATAGTGAGTTTAAACTTAAATGTAAGTGTGCTGTTTCCCATAATGTGTTGGAATTTGCCAGGATGGGTATGGTTCCTAGTAAATCATGCCAGGGAGTTAGGGTTTATAACTATTAACCCTGAAGCCCGGTTCATACTTCACGCGAAAGAGAAATTCTTGACGTCAACAATACATTCGAAGCGCGTCCACCATTGTAGACGACATGAATTTCGCTTCGCACAAGCTTTCGCGTGAAGTATGAACTGGGCTTAACTCCCTAGCATGATATACTAGGAACCATACCCATCCTGGCAAACTCCAACACAATATGGGAAACAGCACACTTACATTTCTAACTTTGTTTCTGGAGGTGTGCCAACCCAATGTACAAAACTGTCAGTTTAAAGGTACTGTACCCATCCTGACAGATTCCAACAAAACATGCTGTTGGGGTTTGATGGGTTGAGTTCTGTTAGGGTTAATACACATCTCAATTCACGAAGGATCATAAAATCATATCATGAGCTTATATGGAAAAGCAAGTATAAAAACTCTTTCAAAAACCTTGAATACCCTACATACATGTACTCCCTCAGTTTGATGGAGCTTTAAAGTAATACAGGGGTGACAAATGGATACATATGACCCACAGCTAACAATTTACCCAAACATTACTCGGAGCAAGTTCAGGCATGAACTATAGTTATCCATAGTTCGACTAACTTTGCATGAACAAATGACTGTTGGACTGCTCTAGTCGGCTATTTGGAACTATACCAGGGGGGAAAGGTTCCATCGCTGGTGACCACTGATAAAAATAGCTGAAAACAGCTGAAAAAGGTGTAAAAAAGCTGAACTTTGGAAATCTCCTATACTTTTGTGCACAGCAAGTGAGGGAAAAAAAAGCTGAAATCCAAAACAAAAAAAGCTGAAATTAGCTTTAATGCTGAGATTTCACACCCCTGTGGTTCCCAATAGCTGCTGACATCACAAAGTACAATGGAAAGCTAGGGCCAACAAGTTTCGTGATGACGTTTTGACCAGCGTTTGACTAGAGGCGTTCCCACGCTGCTGTTAGTGCGCAGGCGTATGTTACATCACAAATCAACCACTAGTTGACTAATGGTCCTCACCAAAACTTGCTCTAAGGTGAAGTTCCAGTGGGATCATGGCAGGAAAAAAATTGGTCACGGGCGATAAAAACCGTTTGACATAAAACCTTCGAAAAAAGGAAGTCAAACACAGCTTGGCTCAAACTTCCATGATTGGTAGTTTAATGCAACTAGTTGATTTGTACCTTCTGGAAGGTTCTGTATAAGACATCATAGTTGTATCCTCCATTCGTCTCATCTGACTTCTTGCTCTTCCACTTAACTTTAAGACGGGGAGGGTCATCTTCAGAAGGAAAAAAAATTAATTTATCAAAATGTAATTTTTTTCTTCCGAGGAATTCATAAGCGACTCATTCGATACTTTTATTCACTGCTTGCCAGTGCTGTTAGTGAGTCTGTCACAAGTCCACCACAAGCTCTTCATTGTTATTTAAAAATCACAAGTCATTTCGTAAGTCCAGTCACAAGTAACAGGAGGTGAAAAATAACAAAGGAATGCCTTTGTTACAATTCACTCCAATAGCTAGCGACTTGAATTTAGCCTAGAGATCTCTTGAGGACTCGACTACTGGAAATCATACAGATAAGGAAATCACACAAACGAGGCAAAAAAATGAATGTCGTCTTTGAAGGAAATCAAGGGTTTTTCAACATTTTCTCTGTAGAATATGTAAATATGTGGCTTTTTTCTGACTTAGACCATTGCACTGTGGTCAGTAAACGATCTACAAAACTAAATTTGGCAGTCTCTGGGCAAACATGCACCTTTCAGCCAAGTTTGGGACAAACGAGCAAAATCAAACAGAGGTGGTGTGCCAAAGATTAAAACGGTCTGTTTTCTGGTTTGATGAAGGCTTGTCACACAGAACTGACCTTCTCCCTGATGAGCCTGGCTGTCTTCCCGCTGAAGTTCCTCCTTCAAGAGTCTCTGCTCCTCAGCCAAGATACGAGAACCTTCTTCCTGGAGCCTCTTGATCTAAGAAATGCACAGAAGGAGAGAGGCTATATCAGTATCTCCATTAGGGCTGTTCGTTTTAGAATAATTTAGTATTTGATTACTCGTAACTGCATTTGACCGAATATTCGGATATTCAAACATGCTAGCTGCAACTGGCTACTGCGCCGCTAAAGAGTTGCATAAAGACGGCACCAGTTAAAAGTTGCGTGTGGCAATCGATATAAGGCACATGAGTGTTTTGCAATAAGTATTTTATAATTGTAAAGGGCTTCAACCTCCTAAAAGGATGTGAACAATGAACCGCCGTTGACAAAAAAAGTTACCGTTGACAAAAAGTAGCACCTGAAAATAAAGGGCAGCAATTTTATGATAAAATAACATCACAAGTCATGTGTGATTGTGCACAATTTCTTTTGTTTTTCATATTTTCAAACTGGCAAAAAGCTATTTGAATAGTTGGTTGACAATCAAATATTGGAGTATTGGGTAAATTCAGGACAGCCCTGATCTCCATCAGAGCACTCCAAGCATAACTCCACCCTCGGTGATAAATATGCATTATTAGATCTCATACATATTTATGAGCCAAATGCGCTTCTATGATTGGATGTTCTAACACGTCTGGGAACTAAAAATAGCTAACTCGAGATTGGTTCCTAGACTCCCAACTATGCAATAGGTGGGAGGTTGCTGGTGGTGCCATACTAAAGCCGGCATGAAAGACGAACAATTGTATGGATTCTCCAGGGATTTTTTGAAAATGAAATTAACTATGTGTGAGGTGTAATAAAACAAATAAAACATGGGGAGGGGGACTTAAAGCCAATTGGCTCTAGGGGGCGCTGTTCAAAAATGCATTAGAGCATGCAATTACAAATACGCCGCATTTAATGCCCATTCCCTGTGGTACCTAATGTCGAAATTATGAAATAGGTGATGGACGATTAATATCTTGATCCTTTGGTGAAAAATATGTAAATGTTTAATTAACACGAAACACTGGAGGGGGGGGGGGGGGAAGGCTGGAAGGGGGGGCGGGCTGGAAGGGGGGGCATGTTTGTGATAGCAATAGTTTGGTCAAGTTATGTAAAGGATACTTGAAAAATGGGGACCTACTCAAATTTTGGTGGATGCGTATGTAACCAGCGCACACTCCCTGGGTGCGGGCCAGATAGAGTCTACATGTACATGTATGTATTCAAAATGAGTACTAAAAATCACTGCAGAGGGCCTATCTGATGACATCATGGATGCCATTTGAGCATTCATCTGACTTACCACTTCTTGAAGTTGTTGCGCTGCATCTTTGCCTTTAGTCCTGTCTTGCTCATCTCGAAATGCTGCTTCTCTTGCCTCAAGATCTGCAAAGAGTAACCCAGCGACATCAACGATGAAACTAACATCAAGCATTTATCGCTTTTCATAATGGCACGGCACTCCGACCATGGCTGAAATAGGCGTCCAGACCTAGGGCTATGTCTATTGTCAGCATGTTCGCACATAGTTTGAATTGATTCAGGCCTAGGCAATAGCCCCACACAAGAAATGTGGACACAGCCTCACTCAAGCTTTTTAATCTTCTCTTATGCTAAGCTGGTGAGCCAACCTTCGAAGTTCTGGGTAGCAATCTGTATGCATGTATGTACATGTACATTCAATAAACAATGCAAAAACTATAAACTTGTACATGTAGCACAACGATTTTATAGTTATCACAAACAACTTTGTCATCTTGGGCTACACCACACAAGATACTTTAACTCTACAACAATATTTACAGCTACTTCTTCATTGGGAAGTCCCTACAAGCGAAAACATATACAGGGATGAGATTGTCAACTTAAAAAAGGTCTGAAAATTATGTGAAAGGTCTGAAAGATGCATTTCTTTCTATACTGGCAGTGTCTTTTTCTCAGATTCAAAAAGTCTGATTTCAGATGAGAGACTAAAAATTCTTTTGCCTGCATAATAGCCTTGCAGCATTGGTAACGTCTAATTGAGAATCAAGTGTTACACGGTAGTAGCCAAGGAATGAGAGAGGGAATCAGTACCAAAGGGGAACATGACAGGGGGTAGCAGGGTTACCTATAAGGAAACAGCAGGCAAAGGGAGGGGAAACCTGGTTCAAGATGGGGAAACAGAGCCATGCATGTGTACAATCATGTAAGGTGAGTTGCAGCTTGATTATACAGGGTGAGTAAAAAAAAAAGTGAAACCCAAATTCAGAACCACTATTTTAGTGAAGTTCTACATTTAGCCCTTTCAAACTCTAGAATACGAAAGCCCAATTCATAGGCTTTCTTTTAGTACAAGAATCTTTCAAATCACTCATGTACCTTTCAAGTTACGGAATTTTTAAAACAACCACCGTTTTAAACTTCTTTCCACGGATCACAAGAACGTAAGTGTTCTTTCAGAAAATGGTTTTGCTGAAAGAACGCACACCTTTTTTTGTGATCCGTGGATAGAACTTTAAAACAGTGGTTGTGTTTAAAATTCCTTAACTTGAAAAGTACATGAGTGATTTGATTGATTCTTGTACTAAAAGAAAGCTTATGAATTGGGCTTTCATGTCCTAGATTTTCAAAGTGCTACTTGCAGAACTTCAATAAAACAATAGTCCCAACATTTGGGTTTCTCTTATTGCTTACTCACCCTGTAGATGAGGGAAATATAGCTAGGCAACTGGCCTGCCTCACGTGCATAAAATGGGGCAACATGTTACTATGGAAGGAGGCGTAATCATGGAATATTGGGGTGACGAAACCTTGTATAAGAACTTCTCATATGTTTGCTAACTTGACGCCTAATTCAAGTCTTAACACATGAAGCAACCTTTTTACTGATGGAGCGTGGCTGAAACTGACCTTCTTTGACCTTTCTCCTCTTACTCTCAAGGGCTCGATTCCGCAGCTCAGTGGCTTTCTTGGCTTTCAAAACTTTGTCATAAGCAGCCTGTCATGTGAGACAAAACATGAACAAAACTGGTTAGAACAAACTGTGCACGGATGTGATTGTCAATTTGGGCGATTCACAATGCAGTTCGTCACCAAGACTTTGCCATGGAGAGTTCATTTTTCCCAGTGCATTGTGAGAGATGGTCGACAAACTCGCAGCGCGGGACACTTGAAATTGTTAGTTTTTCCGCTCAGTAGTTTCGTAAGCGTATGATTCGAGTATATGTTTGCCCTTTTCTTTTCTTTTAATCAATATGGTGTTTTTTGTAAGGCGGCAGAACGTTACGCCCCAATCTATAACAGGTTAGCTCAAGTTGTCTACTGACACTCGTTCAAATGGGCCATGTTTTGTCGACCATAAACTTGAAAAATGGACTCTCCATGGCAAACTCTTGGTGGCCCACCGCATTGTGAATCGCCCAAATTTAATAAAAACATGAAAATTTGACAACACGCAATGATTTTGAACTACTTTCTATGCTCATTTGTTTTCCTTCGAATCACACAAAGTTTTCAAATTCCAAAAGCTAGATTTCAGTCTTAAGTCTGAAGATCTCATGCTTGACAGCGGAGTTTTCTTCTCACGAAATGCGAAAATAACCGTAGTGTGCCTTGACCATGAACTCATTCAATTAATCCAGATTTTTTGCTGTAATGCAAGTGTGCTGAAAACAACTCACGAAATTTTTCCAGCCACATATGAACAATATTCTTATGGGCTTTGAATTGATCATATATTTAGCATTAATAAGGGAATAAATGTGTGATTGGGAGGTTTTAAACACTCTGTTTAAGACCGGTTGGAGTCTGGATGCCAAAGCACATATTTATTCCCATTCATAAATACCTTTTCGATCAAAAAAATCATAACTTTTCGGTCCAAAAGTCAAAAAAGTCAAAGATATAACAATTTCACTTCATGTTTTTTGAAACACCCCTCTAGCTATATAATGGAGTGTCCAGCTCACGAGTAAGTCATAAACAACTCCTTTTATGGAGATCGGCACGTTGCGCGTACAGCGCGATGTTGCGCAGAATGCAGCTGTGGCGGCGCGTTGTGAATTAAGACTATGAAATACTGACTCTCTGGTAGTATTGCGCATGCCTACATGAGGATTGTGAACATTCAACAAATAAAACAGTAAAAGGCACCGGATTTCATGAGTCCAAATTTCATGTGACACTGGAAAAGTGTATAAGACCAGCCAGCCGGTCTTTATCATCCGTTGAAGACCAGCCACGTGACGGTCTCTACCAATAGGAATGGGTAGACTGTCTTAGGTATTTATGAATGTAATTTTTGCCAAATGAAACTCACCCTTGCTTCTGAGTCGGTCAGAATTTCAAGTGCTTTTGACAGTTCTTCCCATTCCTTTGCTGCATGGAAATCAATGGGGGAAAAAGGAAACCAATAGATTAGGCCTATGCGCTGGGAAATCATGTTTTAACCCTAACCGCCCTGAATCCTTCAAAATCCTCTTTGCCAAAGTGGAGAAGTTTGGAGGATTGAGGTTACATGGCAAAAGTGCAATACTGATTTTGTAGGATGCACTTTGTCAAGGTCTTGGGCCGGACCTTGTCTTGTTTATGCTCAGCTCATGTACAAGGTTTTGTTGGATACAGTACTGATAGTGTATGTGTATAGCCCAGCCAACATTACTTCACATTGGGATCACAAGCAATCATGAATGCCCCAAATGTGGGTAAGAATAAAGGGAAGTGCCATTGGCCTTAATGTACAGTGATGGCAATTTCAGGATTCTGACAGTTTTTCATGTTTTTGGAAAGTGATAGATTTTGTAGGATTCTGGAAGTTTCCAAGAGAAGATTTCCAGGAAGTTTAGAGCTGAACCTTTCATTACCACATTGTTTATTGACTTGGCTCTCCCCAGGACCAAATTGTTTGCTCAGTCATGCGGAAATCACTAGAGCGTGAACAAAATGAGCACGAGTCAAAAACTCACTTTTTTCAACCCAGATTTTCACTACCAAGGAGTGATTTAAATCATAGGTGTTGTGTGTAAAGTTTGTTCCTTGAACCTTGAAATGAAGTTCACGTGTGCAAATATAAGAAAGTTATGCCTTTTTGTTCGTCTGGTCCCATTTATCAAACTGCAAGCCAAGTAAGATTTGAGGCTTTGCATGGTGGAGATACTAAATAATAAAAGGTTTGCGGAAACACCATGTGCGAATAATTTCTCAACTAAGAGAATGGTTCTGAAAAGAACCAGAGGTATGAACTCGACGTTTCACCACATGACCAAATGGCACTCCATACCTCAAATTGTGCATGGATACTTCTGGATCACTTTTCTCAATGTTTGTAATGGTAACACTGTGAATAAACTACACAGTTAGAACGATCTGAAAACACTCTTTCAGCTGGTATATGATTGATGTATGGGCCGCCAAACATATCAACATGCCGCCTTTCTGAAAAGCAGTGAATAAATCTGTGTTTGAGGGTGTTCCGTGTGTGGTTTCCTGGTCAACTAAAGTCGCCTATGGGAATCAGCAGGGGGGTAGTTCTTGTCAACTATTAAGTCGCCCATGGTAAGGAAAGGGTTAACCGCTGACCTGCTCTGGGGTTGTCTGGATTTTTGTCAGGATGGCACGTCAGCGCTTTCTTCCTGTAGGCTTTCTTGATCTGGGAAAAATAAATGGTTTGAAAGAAAAAAAAGTCAAGTGACCAAGAAGAGTTTTTCCACAAGAATATATTTCAGCTATTTTAAAATTCTCAGTTGTGACTGTAGTTTTTAATTGATTATAATAAGACATGAGTTCTTAATATATTTTTGTGCATTTATACAGACTTCACGGTGCATGGCGGTGATTCACTGCCATTTTTATTTTCGTTTTATGTTGTTTCGTCTTCACATGCTTCATTATCATCATTGTTTTACCCCAAATTGTCCCTTAATTTTCTTTAAAACTTGCCCTTTATCCATGACATTCTTGTTGGTTTTAAACACAACTGGTAACTGCATGTTGTTGGGCAAGTCCAATTGACCTACCGTACAAGTGGATTTTCGTTCTCTAGTCTTATTATAGGAACGAGGCCCGCCACTACATCAGAGATGAAACAGGTATATGGCAAAAAAATCAGAAAATATAGGCCGAACAAAAATACGTGTCCGAAATCTGGGCCGCGCTGCAGTTAAACACATCATGGAGGTAGGAAACACATGTACATGCACAATACACTTCATGCCCAATTTCCAGACACCAACTCCTGCTTTATTTTCGATTCAAACAAAATTTTACGATGAAAACAAAAAAGGTCAGTGTTTTCATTGCACAAAATGCCTGAATTACGGTTAGAGTAACGGAGTCATCAATAAAGAAGTTCACTTCTTACTTGAGAAAGTCGAGGGAAAAGTCCGAAAGACAAGGGCACCGTTCACGGTGCTTCGATCATGTCCATGATTCAACCACACAACTCCACTACTCCACTTGCATTCATCCATACGTGGGGAAAAATCAGGCATTATCGTCTTTCTCTTCCAACAAATGCCAGTGAAATGTTTCGCTAATGCTCTCTTCGCTTTCCTCGAGATAATCATCACGATTTTTAAAGCATTGCATTTTGTACAACTTAATCTGAAACCTCCGAAAATCGCACAACATAATGATTTTATCCACTGGATCGTTCACAAGGCCACCCGTTCCCGACTGGCCATGTGCGTGCTAGCGGACGGTACGGTACGGCGGTACTGCACGTGCGCCACAGTGATTTTTCCATGTCACCTGTCAATGTTTAACCTTTTGTCCAGCCGGAGAAGGTGCCGATCAGTGTTATGCCCTGTGTTTCTACCGTTGAAACACTCCAATAACGACTGGTGAAAGAGATTAAAACTACGTTCGCGATGATTTTAACTACCATTTCCATCGACTTTTCATCGACTTTTTTTTCGAAATTATGATTGAAATAAAATGACATTTTGTAAAAAAATCCTTACAAAATCAAATTTTTGTTGGACACACTGTAAAAAAATCGGAAATTTCGTTGGAAAATTCAAAAAGTCGGATTTCCGATTAAAATCGGAAAAGTTTCATCTCTGCTACATGATCATGGTCAGGGTTTTGATTTTTTGAGGGAAATTTGGGGGTAATGACGATGACAGCGCGGCGACAACACGTGACCCGAAAATAAAGATGGTGATCACCGCGCGATGTACCGTGAGCACGCACGGTGCGCTGAATCGCAAGGCACAAACCGCGCAGGAAAATCGTGATTTCTACCCCAAGAATCTGTTCAAAATTGCAAAATGGGTTTCATTAGAATTGAGAAAAATCTGCTTTTCATTGTAAACGTGATTTTTGAGCAATAAAAAATATTTTTCACTCTAATTTGATCAAAACAAAACAGGGGCCCTACACTTTATGATCGCCAAAAAACCTCCCTGTACTATGTGCCGAAACGCAACGAAGCTGCCTGGCCAATCATGCCATGCCAGTTGCAGACAAACGTACATACATCCTATACAGTTCATGTACGTTGATGCTCCATTGGTACGATGTCGCGCCACCACAACTTAGATTGGTAGCAATACGCTGTATTTATATTACTGCTGTATATCCCTATTAAATGTCCAGGGTCCACAGCCATGACTGCGGGCAGACAAGCAGAATCCCTGCACTGCATGGGAATTAGTTGTATGGTCTAGTTCCCAGACTTTTACGAAGCAAAAGACCGTGCCCGCTTGCAAGAGAATTAGACTAATTTTCCAGGGGAACTAGCCAAGTGCACACACAAACATGACAAAACGGGTGACTCGTAAAGTCGTATTGTAAACTTTTTCTTGCAATCTGTGCTCCGTCTGTTCTTTGTTGTACTCCTGTTAGCAGGAGTTACCCAGCCCTGAATTTTATCATTGGGTTGTCATCTAGGGATGGAGCTTATTTTTCACGTAACCGAGCAGCGTAGGCAGGTCCCAAAAAAAATTGCCAAACTTGCCTGGAATAACCATTACACAGGTCCTTGAAATAAAAAACGATCCACGATGAAGATTCAGCCTACAATTGCAATGAAAAAAGGAGGAATAACCGCTAACCTGACAACCTTGCGGGCATGGCCAGGACCGCAATTGGTTTCTGCACAAAAAAAATTGTGTACAATGAATGGCGGTCGATTACCAGGCACAGCTCGCTGTCAACTAGTCGTTTTTGCCGGCTGCGCTGGCTGTTGGCGCATGACGTCACGCGGAAGCGTAACACCCGATGACTGTTTCATGCACTAATATGAGGTTTACCACTCGCATCACAGCTGCGGTACAGGAACCGCAACCGGTAGCGCATGAAACAGTCAAAGTATGGAGGATGTCAGACAAGTCGAACGTTGAGACAACTCGACACGGGACAAGTCGCCCGTTGAGACAACTCGACCGTTGAGACAAGTCGCCCGTTGAGACAACTCGACTAGGGACAACTCGACCGTTGAGACAGCTCGACTTAACGGAAATGTATACACGTGTACTTTTGTATTGTATTCTTTTGTAATTGTATTCAATCTTTCCATTGAATACAGGTCAACTCGTACGCGAACCAACTCGTGCGTGACCAACTCGTACGCGGGACAATTCGTACGCGAACCAACTCATATGCGGACCGACTCGTACGCGGACCGACTCGTACGCGGACCAACTCGTACGCGAGTCAACTCGTACGCGTGAGTTTAGACTGTTGGTTTGGCTCACATGGACAGACGAAATTAGGTTCCGTACGGTAGGTCAGCATAATTTTACCTTTTCTGAAAGGTTGAGATTTTCAAATTAAATGTAGTTGATTTTTGAATCCGCCAGTGCTACTTACATTCGCGATTTTTTTTAGAAGAATTCTGCATGTTTTTTTTGTTTTTTTACGGCCGCCGCTGTTTTGACAAGCATTTGGTTAGCGGGCTATACCGCTAATTTCGAACCCTGATGTGTTATGTGTTATACCTCCATGGTTATACCAAGCATTTCAGTTGTAAATAGAAATTGCTTGGCCTACGGATGTCCTCGCGTGTCTGCTTTTTAATTGATCAATGGTTGTGAACCACAATGAAAGTTGAGTGACAGGCAGTTGACAAGTCTGATCGATCTCTTTTGATTGGTTTTACCGATACAAAGGATGAAGGATGCCGACTTCTAAACCCGCTGGTTCTTTTAGGACACCGAACCGCGAGAACAGATTCATGGTAGCCCGGAGCGTTGCAATTGGGTCAGTTTGACAATGGTGGCAATTAAATGACTGACAGGTACATTGATTAAAAAAACCCCGAAAATCAGTTACTTTATTATCATCATTCACGGGTTCACTCCCAATCACACACAACGGTCACACACTGAACTACGGACTACCCGATTCTTCGGTCACAACATGGTCACACTATTCCCAAATTCTCCCCAACCATGCCAACCCAATCCTTGAAACCACTCCTATTTCGGCCCCCGTACGAGTTGGCTCGCGTACGAGTTGTCTCGCGTACGAGTTTGCTCGCGTACGAGTTGTCTGGCGTACGAGTTGGTTCGCATACGAGTTGGCTCGCGTACGAGTTGACCAATCCGCGTATGAGTTGTCTCGCGTACGAGTTGGTTCGCGTACGAGTTGACCTGTTTCCTTTCCATTTATCGCACATACGGTCGAGTTGTCTCAACGGTCGAGTTGTCTCAACGGTCGAGTTGTCTCAACGGTCGAGTTGTCTCAACGGTCGAGTTGTCTCAACGGTCGAGTTGTCTCAACGGTCGACTTGTCCCGAGTCGAGTTGTCTCAACGGTCGACTTGTCTCAACGGTCGACTTGTCTGACCCCCTACTAGACCTGCAGTCTAGTAGGCGCGGGCCTAGCCCTAGGCTAGCTGGAGTAACCCAGCCCTGAGTTTTATCATTGGGTTGTCATTGAGGGCTGGAGCGTATTTTTCTCGTAACTAGTAGTATATTCAAAAAATTTTGGAAAAATGTTCAATTTTGTCCCCGTTACACACTAATTGCAACTGCAACTCACCACAAACTTGCCTGGAATAACCATTACACAGGTCCTTGAAGTAAAAAACGATCCACGATGAAGATTCAGCCTACAATTGCAGTGAAAACAGGAGGAATAACCGCTAACTTGACAACCTTGCTGGATTGGCCAGGACTGCTAGGCCCTATTGGTTTGTGCACAAAAAAAAAATTGTGTACAATGAATGGCGGCGGTCGATTACCATCCACGTACAGCTCGCTGGTACTACGCGTTTTTGCGGTCGGTGCATGACGTAACGCGGAAGCGTAATACCCGATGACTGTTTCATGCATTAAGAAGAGGTTCACTCGCATCACAGTGCGGTACTGGAACGGCAACCGTCGAGTTGGCCGGCTATCGTGCATTCATAGGCCAACTCGACGGTTGCCGTTCCAGTACCGCACTGTGATGCGAGTGAACCTCTTCTTAATGCATGAAACAGTCATCGGGTATTACGCTTCCGCGTCACGTCATGCACCGACCGCAAAAACGCATAGTACCAGTGAGCTGTACGTGGATGGTAATCGACCGCCGCCATTCATTGTACACAATTTTTTTTTTGTGCACAAACCAATAGGGCCTAGCAGTCCTGGCCAATCCAGCAAGGTTGTCAAGTTAGCGGTTATTCCTCCTGTTTTCACTGCAATTGTAGGCTGAATCTTCATCGTGGATCGTTTTTTACTTCAAGGACCTGTGTAATGGTTATTCCAGGCAAGTTTGGGGTGAGTTGCAGTTGCAATTAGTGTGTAACGGGGACAAAATTGAACATTTTCCAAAAAATTGTGAATATACTACAAGTTACGAGAAAAATACGCTCCAGCCCTAGATGAAAACCCAATGATAAAACTCAGGGCTGGGTAACTCCAGCTAGCCCTAGGCCTAGGCATGCTAGGCCTAGTGCGTTTTTTCATGAAATTCGAGCCCTGGCATGCCTGGGGGCCTGGCCCGGTCACTCAGTGTCAAACATGTCAGTTGTCACATGTAATGATGTATGATTTTTGTTAAAATTTCGGACTATCGACCCATTGACCTTTTTGTAAACAACTCATACAGAAAATACCTCTCACCTCAGGCACTGTCGCATCTTGTAAAACCCCGAGCACTTCGTACAAATCTTTCTCACTCAAGCCAGGCGCCATGTTTTCATAAATGAACAGCGCCCTCCAGTGTCGCAGGAACACATTCTTGTCTTCCTTTTTTGGGGGTGCGTTCGTTTTCGCTCGTACCCCCACCCTGCAAACAGGACGCTAGGATACTCTGATGAGCTTCACAGAATCTTGTGAAGGAAGTGGCCTATGACCCATGTATAAAGCATCTGACTGCAGCTGTTCAAGACCGCAATTAGACAATGTGGGCAAATAATATCAGAAAACTTTTTATAGAAATGCACACGTTCCATACCGGATGTGATTTCTGTTTCATTGCGGACCCTGTGGAAAAAATTTTGAGCGTCGCATAATGCAATCCGACCGTTTGTGATTCGAAACGGAGCTGAGCAAGTGAGGGGAATTGTAAATTTACAACACAGATAAGTTGTACATAATTTCCTACATTATTACGCTTTTCAACGAAAAAAAAATCTCTAAACTGGAATAAAAGAGTAAAGAATCAGTCTTAACGGCCGTTTCAAACCTTACAGAGTCATGACCGTGATGACGCGCGCGCAGGTCACAGGTCTCGCAAAACCCAACCAATCAGACCGTGAATTCATCAGAGTATCCCAGCGTCCTGTTTGCAGGGCGGGGGGGGGGGGGGGGGAGCGAAGCGTTCGTTTAGCTCACCGTACCCGGGTCGACACAGGCACGGGCGTGTCGAGGGCGGGTTGAGGGGGTGTCACCTCCTATGGTACCCCCCATTAGTCAGTTTTGTCGGCAAAATTATGGTGCTGTCGGCAAAATAGAAAATGAAGAATGGAGAAGGAAGGGGAAAGGAAGAGGGAAGAAGAAAAAAAATGGAAAATGTAGGCCTAGCTAATAAACACCGCTGCTCAAAACCCCGCCCCGCTAAAATCCGGTTTTGCAACCTATGGCAAAAGAGTGTACAGTTTTCATGTCGGCATGAGCTGCATGCCTCGCGAGATCGCTTTATCATACGGCGGTTGACAGCTTCAGCTGTGCAAAACACAAGCACGTGCTCGCTCGCAGACAGTAACGAATTGAGCTGCATGATTCTTTGTGACGATTCAAAATCATGGATCAAGCTAAAGAGGGTAAATCTCGAGTCAAGTTACAGTTTTGATGTGATGTTTGTGATGAAATACATTGTACATCCCCCTAAACTCGAGCAATTTCATTCAAAAAGTCGGGGGAAAGTGGCCAGCTGCAGGAAATGCCTCAGATTGCACCACGTACAGAGCATCTAGAATCCAAAAATTTAAGCGGGCCCGGACCCCACGCCATCAGGGCTTCACGCTCTGCGCTCGCATATAAAAAGTCCCACTTGATGATTTAAAGACCGCCAATCAGCCTGGGAGCAGGGAACAGGCTTGAACAACGTATGCGCACACGTACTGAGTGCGCATGCGCGTGTAGCCTGCCTTTACCCTAGTCTGGTTCCCAGACCAAAAGATTCCGACTATTCCTGCTGAATCTTAGGTCAGGTAGCCTCCGGTAATACAAAGTATTACAATTTACATCACGTGACTAAAACGGGAGGAATTCCTCCTTTTTCCGAAACTGTCCGAAGTTTGCCGAATTCATTTCGTCGACAATCGGATAGTGTCCGAGTATTTCCGAGTATAATATAGGTTTTATTAACTGCTAATTGCTTATTAAAAACTTTAAAAAACTACATGTAGTTGATAATTAATATCAATTGCTTTTATTTAGAAAACTTGAAATTCAACGACGATTTTGCACTCGGATCGTATACGAGGGGCGAACTTTTTGCTGCGTCATGCACTAGTTTGAATTTGACGACCGTTACCGGCATTTTCCAAAACGCGGCGTGGTCTCAATTCGGCTCCGCCTGCTAACAGTGCTGTTTGGGTGTCCAACTTTGAAGATTCCAGGTTAAAATTAGTCAATGGTTTTTTACAGAAGTATTAAACTGTATATCATAACTGTATGATATATGAAGCAAGTGATTTATTTTTTAAAAAAATATCGGAACATTAAAAGCTTTATGTGATAAAGCGAATTCGGAAACGAAGTCGAGCTTTGAAAAAGGGCCGTCAATGTCGTCATGTTTATTTTTAGCCACGGAGGCTGCCTGACCTACAATTTAGACGTGTAGACGTCAGGGGAAATTGTCAGGTCGGGGAACCAGACTACCTTTACCCGTGTCGACTCGGGTGAGCTAAACTAACGCACCCTTTGTATAGGTGGGGCCGGTGAGGGTTAACCCTCATATCCGCGAGACCACAAAAATTACGCGCAGTAACCACATGGAGAATGTTATCACCACACGTGTTTCTAGGTCAATAACCCCCTCATGCACAAGATATAGGGCAGTCACATGGCCTTTGTGTGGGCCGGGATTGTTTACGACCTGTCTGAGCTCTGGGCGGCATGAGGGATTGACACAGAGAGATCGGCGGCACAAAGGGGTTGGCCACTAAGATCTCCAATTACTGCACAAATTTAGCATTGGGCGCCTTGGGGCTGCTGTCTTTCAACACTCCCTACTCTGCAGTGGTTAGGGTCTGGCCAATGGGAGTCTACAGGCTTGTGGTGTATACCAGGGGTGAGGATTACATGGAATATGGTTTACACCATAAACAAACGTGTCTGTGTGTGTTTGTGTGTCCCCGTTTCCTGCCTTTGGCGAGATTTAGAGGACAATAAACCGATATAAGCTCACGCTACATTAGGCGCCCCCCAAAAAAGTCTCCGGTTTCTGTTCTGCGCTCACGTCGCCGTAGCCCATGCGCGTCGGAAAAATTGTAAAAAAAAATGTTTTTGTAACATGATGTCTCAAAACCGCCAAACTTACTGGTTTGACTGGAATCCTGCTGCTGCACAATTTTAACGTGTTTTTAGATGGGGTTACGATCGAGTACAAGCTTTATGTGGCCTATCTGGGTGTTGTAATTTTATAATAATTGTGCGTCTGGAAGCCGACTAAGGGAGCGATGGTCGTGTATCTGCAACCTGTAAACGCCTTTTAATTAGCGAGCCTTTTAATATGTAAGCGAGCAGATTAATAACCAGCCTGATAGCTCATGCATGCACGATCGATGTCACTGTATGGTCTGACGTTACCGTTTTCTCTGATTTTTGTCTTGACTATGATCCAAATTTCCCGAAGAATGTCACGTTTCGGTCGAGATCGTTAAGTGGGTGCAGAATTCTCACGCCTTAATTATGGCCTTAATGAGGTCACCTGAGGCTCCACTCTGAAGGATATTTGTGAGTGTTTTAAGAGGATCGAAGCGTCATCATCAACATCAGCCGACATTGAAGGAAAAAAAGGAGGGGGTGTACCCGCGTCGCCGTAACCACATTTGGGGCAATTAGCTCCATACCCGAAACCCCCGAAACCGGAGACTTTTTTTCCCTTATTGTACCCAGCACGAACTTAAGCCGACCATGCATATTAAACAAAAAGATAAGCCTTCTTCGGTGTATTGTATTGGTGCCACGGTTCATTGTGAAGTTGCCAGTGACCTTCGGCAGTGACACCATGCGTACTTTAACCTCGGACACAACTCCGCCTTTGCCTTGTGAGTTCGTTGTGTGTACTGAACGTTGATCATTGGTACAGAATTGGATACCCATCAAGCTAACTTTGTCATTCGAATCCGGGGAATTGGCACCATATAACAAGCAGTAATCTGTTTGTAGTTGCAAATTTCAGTTAGCTGTCTGGTAAAAGATAACAGCAGATAGGCCTATTGCTACAGCAGATAAATGTTTGCAATATGGAACCGAATCCACGACTGACAAAAATTACAAAGGACGACTGTGCTCGTTGGTACCGTGTGTGTACAGACAACGGCTTTGAAGGAACCATTCCTTACGTTTGGTTGAGGGATAATTGCCGCTGTTCAGAATGCTTCTATCCCTCCGCCTCGCAGCGATTGATGAAGATGACTGACTTGGATCCCGATGTGATACCGTCATCCGAGACAATCGTGGACGATGGTCGAGTCTTGCGGGTCATCTGGCCCGACCAGCACCGCAGCGACTTCCAGGCAGCCTGGCTCAGTCGCCGGCATTTCTCGGACAGGCCGAGGGACGTGGTGACGGATCCGGAACTGCAGTCGTGGGGAGCCGAGCTGAACGGCAACATCCCGACCTTCGACTTCCAGAAACTCTTGGAAGACGGCGCTGAGTTGTACAACTGGCTGGATGTCTTGAACACGATTCAGAAGTGAATGAACATTTTCGTGAAATTGGCCGGGAAAACCTGTACACGTATTGCTTTCAAATGAAGGTGCCGATTATATACTTGAGATATTTAACGTATTCAGCGAGGGAAAAAAGGGTATTTATAAATGGTGACATCATTAAAAACAAACTTAGAAAGCATGCATTTTTGCATGGAATTTCGCAGATTCAGATGCTTCATTGCCTTCGAAGGACGGTGGATGTTGAAGGCGGTGAGAATCAGTTTGTGGACGGACTACACGTGGCCCAACAAATCCAGAGAGAGTTCCCTGAGGCCTACAAAACCCTGACTACACAAGACGTAGACGTTGCGTGCGCCACTTTCGAAGATCATCGTCAACTGCGCCTGAAACGCAGATCACCGACCATAAAGTAAGTATATAGGTCTACACATTACATCTTCACCACATCAAAATCAACTTTGCTACATTCTCAATGAGTTTATATTGATTCAACCACAAGACCATCACTGTATACATTGCAATCAAACCACAGGTCAGGTCCGGTAATAAACAATGACAACAGAATGTCACTGTCACATGTCATGAGTTGACTTGCGATCGTGGGATTGATTTGTGATGAATTGATGTCTTCTGTGTCCTTCCTCCAACAGTTTTGATAAAAATGGCCGGTTCCGAAGCATTAACTATCACGACGGCTCGAGGGCGCCCTACCAAACCCAAGTTGCAGTGGAACAGGTTACCGGCCTTTACAGAGCCTTGAAGCTGTTCAGTAATGTGATGTATCGGCCGGAAAATGTGGTGCGCCATCAGCTGGCTGAAGGTTTGTTCAAATATCGAATGTTTCGCTCGTACCAAGCGCCCTATCCAACTTGAAGGCCAGAAGGCTGACTTTGAGCTCATGTACATGTAGTCAAGTCCATCACAAGTCCCTGCAAGTCCATCACAAGTCCTCCAGTCCAAATTCAACTCACAAGCTATTATTCATCCACAGTCACTTGTGAATGGTCTTGTGAACTTGTGATTTCCTTGTGACCGAACTTGTCATGGACTCAACTGCATCCCTGGAGCTCACGTCGTCAAGTAAGAGGGCTCTACTTTTCGATTCTCGCAAGACATTTCCTCAACTGAAAATGAAGGGAAAGAAACACACTAGCGCGGATAAAGCGAAAAGCAATTGATGGGGGAGAGTGGGGCAAAGAGCATGGGTTGTGGAGTACATGTACATGCATTACAGCACTGTGTGGACTTCCGAACAAAAGAGGTCCGCCGTGATAAACCAGGTAGCAGCGACGTTGTGTGGACTTGCCCACGTCCTCACAGTGTTTCCCCCTCTCTGGGAAACAGGTTTAGAGGCATTTTGGGGTAACTTTTATCCGTGGCAAAATGAAGAGAAACACTAAAGGGAATAACAGAAAAAAATGGGTTGAAAGTGTTTTCACAGTGTGAGTAAAAATGAGTTTTTTCAGAGGTTTTTCTTTACACGAAAACAAAGGGATGTCCACACAAGGTATGTAACGTAAACATGTCTGAGATGGAAAGGGCACTTGGTGAATGTTCCGGAATGAGAATTAGTTTTCTGAAAAGGTGATTTTTAGTCAAATAATGCTTTGATGCCTTTAAATATAACCAAAAGTGGCAATACAAAGAGTTCCTTCTTAAAACTGAACTTTTAGTCTCTGACTGAGCAAAATTAGCTCCATACCCGAAACCCCCGAAACCGGAGACTTTTTTTCCCTTATTGTACCCAGCACGAACTTAAGCCGACCATGCATATTAAACAAAAAGATAAGCCTTCTTCGGTGTATTGTATTGGTGCCACGGTTCATTGTGAAGTTGCCAGTGACCTTCGGCAGTGACACCATGCGTACTTTAACCTCGGACACAACTCCGCCTTTGCCTTGTGAGTTCGTTGTGTGTACTGAACGTTGATCATTGGTACAGAATTGGATACCCATCAAGCTAACTTTGTCATTCGAATCCGGGGAATTGGCACCATATAACAAGCAGTAATCTGTTTGTAGTTGCAAATTTCAGTTAGCTGTCTGGTAAAAGATAACAGCAGATAGGCCTATTGCTACAGCAGATAAATGTTTGCAATATGGAACCGAATCCACGACTGACAAAAATTACAAAGGACGACTGTGCTCGTTGGTACCGTGTGTGTACAGACAACGGCTTTGAAGGAACCATTCCTTACGTTTGGTTGAGGGATAATTGCCGCTGTTCAGAATGCTTCTATCCCTCCGCCTCGCAGCGATTGATGAAGATGACTGACTTGGATCCCGATGTGATACCGTCATCCGAGACAATCGTGGACGATGGTCGAGTCTTGCGGGTCATCTGGCCCGACCAGCACCGCAGCGACTTCCAGGCAGCCTGGCTCAGTCGCCGGCATTTCTCGGACAGGCCGAGGGACGTGGTGACGGATCCGGAACTGCAGTCGTGGGGAGCCGAGCTGAACGGCAACATCCCGACCTTCGACTTCCAGAAACTCTTGGAAGACGGCGCTGAGTTGTACAACTGGCTGGATGTCTTGAACACCAAGGGCTTGGGCTTGGTGAAAGGGGCACCGACTAAGAAGGGAACTCTCCGCCAACTGGCTGAGAGGGTTGCTTATTTCAAGAAAACGCTGTGGGGGTAAGATTCGTAATCTTAAAAAGGTCGACCTATTGTATACGCAGGTACCACTTCGCCATGCAGTAGCCAACAGAGAGCGTAATTATCACTTTCTGTGGGTTTTTTTGTGTGTGAACCTGAAACATGTAAATATTATGTCTACCATAATTGGACTCTGTGTTTCGTACAATAAATAATGTGAATTGGAAATATCACAATGATGTCACGCTTTGTTGATAGGTGTGCGCCTTCCTATAGGAGCCAGGTGGGGACGTGAGCCACCAAGCTCCCATGTAGGAAAGCGCACGGTAAAAAAAACTTGACGTCATTATGTCACATGTGTACTTGATGGGACCAGGAAGGCTGCACCTATAAACGAATGCGTCAACAAAATGAGGCTGCTGGAGGTGGTGCCACGATTGTGCAGTTTTTGCATGTTTCTTCAAGGTGCGCATTTACCAAGAATTGTAAACACCCCATCGGTCGAAGGAGTACGAGTGCTTTAAGAATTCCTTTGCAAGCCATTTTTGTCTTTTCTAGTGAGGAGTTTCAAGTTGTAAGTCAACCAAACGCTAGCGACCTGGCCTACACGGGGAAGACTTTGGGATTCCACGTCGACCAGCCATACCTGAGTTACTATCCAGGTGTACGTGAAGCTTTATTTGGGGAACATTTTGTAATCAGAGAACTTTTAAGAGGGACGTTAAAGAATTAAAAAGAAATATTTCTTTAAATATAGGTTTTCCCGGCCAATTTCCTAACATGTTCATTCACTTCTGAAAATCGGTCATTCATTTTCGTCTGAATGTGAGAATCGCTCTGAACACGAGTTTCGTTTTCGCTACAAGAGCATTCGATTCCTTTTCAGTTCATGATTGAGAAGCATGCAACTTTCGTTTAAGTCCATTCAGATTCGTTTACAAGACTTCTTGTTCGCTATTAGAGGGACTTCAAACATTCAGCATTCTATTTCATTTTTAGTTTAATGCTGTCGGCACCAGATAAAATTAGGGGTTTCTTTTTCATTAACCGTCATCAAGTTAGCTGTACCTGAAATCAATTTAGAAAACTAGGTAGCCTTGCGTAAATGAATGCACAGGTAGCGTAATTCGGGCCATCTGTTTCTCAAAACCGAATGCACGGACAGTGGAAACGATTGAACGTTCGTTGAATTGAAATGGGAATAAAGACGGGCATTCAAATTCAGACGAAAATCAATGACCGATTTTCAGAAGTGAATGAACATTTTCGTGAAATTGGCCGGGAAAACCTGTACACGTATTGCTTTCAAATGAAGGTGCCGATTATATACTTGAGATATTTAACGTATTCAGCGAGGGAAAAAAGGGTATTTATAAATGGTGACATCATTAAAAACAAACTTAGAAAGCATGCATTTTTGCATGGAATTTCGCAGATTCAGATGCTTCATTGCCTTCGAAGGACGGTGGATGTTGAAGGCGGTGAGAATCAGTTTGTGGACGGACTACACGTGGCCCAACAAATCCAGAGAGAGTTCCCTGAGGCCTACAAAACCCTGACTACACAAGACGTAGACGTTGCGTGCGCCACTTTCGAAGATCATCGTCAACTGCGCCTGAAACGCAGATCACCGACCATAAAGTAAGTATATAGGTCTACACATTACATCTTCACCACATCAAAATCAACTTTGCTACATTCTCAATGAGTTTATATTGATTCAACCACAAGACCATCACTGTATACATTGCAATCAAACCACAGGTCAGGTCCGGTAATAAACAATGACAACAGAATGTCACTGTCACATGTCATGAGTTGACTTGCGATCGTGGGATTGATTTGTGATGAATTGATGTCTTCTGTGTCCTTCCTCCAACAGTTTTGATAAAAATGGCCGGTTCCGAAGCATTAACTATCACGACGGCTCGAGGGCGCCCTACCAAACCCAAGTTGCAGTGGAACAGGTTACCGGCCTTTACAGAGCCTTGAAGCTGTTCAGTAATGTGATGTATCGGCCGGAAAATGTGGTGCGCCATCAGCTGGCTGAAGGTTTGTTCAAATATCGAATGTTTCGCTCGTACCAAGCGCCCTATCCAACTTGAAGGCCAGAAGGCTGACTTTGAGCTCATGTACATGTAGTCAAGTCCATCACAAGTCCCTGCAAGTCCATCACAAGTCCTCCAGTCCAAATTCAACTCACAAGCTATTATTCATCCACAGTCACTTGTGAATGGTCTTGTGAACTTGTGATTTCCTTGTGACCGAACTTGTCATGGACTCAACTGCATCCCTGGAGCTCACGTCGTCAAGTAAGAGGGCTCTACTTTTCGATTCTCGCAAGACATTTCCTCAACTGAAAATGAAGGGAAAGAAACACACTAGCGCGGATAAAGCGAAAAGCAATTGATGGGGGAGAGTGGGGCAAAGAGCATGGGTTGTGGAGTACATGTACATGCATTACAGCACTGTGTGGACTTCCGAACAAAAGAGGTCCGCCGTGATAAACCAGGTAGCAGCGACGTTGTGTGGACTTGCCCACGTCCTCACAGTGTTTCCCCCTCTCTGGGAAACAGGTTTAGAGGCATTTTGGGGTAACTTTTATCCGTGGCAAAATGAAGAGAAACACTAAAGGGAATAACAGAAAAAAATGGGTTGAAAGTGTTTTCACAGTGTGAGTAAAAATGAGTTTTTTCAGAGGTTTTTCTTTACACGAAAACAAAGGGATGTCCACACAAGGTATGTAACGTAAACATGTCTGAGATGGAAAGGGCACTTGGTGAATGTTCCGGAATGAGAATTAGTTTTCTGAAAAGGTGATTTTTAGTCAAATAATGCTTTGATGCCTTTAAATATAACCAAAAGTGGCAATACAAAGAGTTCCTTCTTAAAACTGAACTTTTAGTCTCTGACTGAGCAAAAATACATGATGCCCCAAAAATGCTGTAAAATTTTATTAGTCCCCACCCTCCCACCCCCAACAAAAATGGTTAGTTGTTTTTGTGAATCAATGTATTTATAGACTCTACGAGTAAAAGCCCTTTCAAAAGTCTACTTTTCTTTTACAGGGGAGATAGCTACTTTCAATAACACCCGCGTCCTTCACGCCCGCAGCGCCTTCACTATTACTGGCGATGGAGGACGCCATCTTGAAGGCGGTTACATGGACTGGGACGAGGCTCGATCGCGCATGCGCGGTCTTCGGGAGAACCTCTTCGGAGATGTGTCTCTGTGACACGTTCACATTTTTTTCATAGAGCTATATAGGCCTATAAAAGGTATTTAATGTAACTCTATGCATGTTTCCATACCACTTTGGATGTACGATTCTTGTTGCACTTTTAGGATTAAAGTGGTCCGTGGTCAGTTGGGGGAGTTACTTCCCCCCCCCCCCCCCCAAAAAAAAAATCAAATTGAGTTTATCTTCCTGGCATAGAGAATGGCCTGACAATATCATTTTCAAAGTTTAATTGACTGTTGAAATGTCGTAAAATATGAGCGTTCCTGCTTTTGTTTTCAACAGTATTAAGTATGACAGTCATATTGTATTTCATTGCGAAAATAATGTTTTTAAGAAGAAATGGAATGTATATGCTAGGTGTCGTAAGTTCCTTTTTGGTAGGTTCGAGATCTTTTTTTTCTAAACATGCGTTATCCAGACAGAATGAATTAAAAAAAACAAAAAATAAGTATGTATTTGCCCTCAGACTACAACATTGAAAATTATTTTGAAACACAAGAAAAGGCGAGCGTAGAATATCGCAGATTTGTGTGTGGGGCAACCGAGTCGTGACACACCGACAATTCATAAACTATAGCGTTTAAAGTTTGATATGTTTGCCTTTCCATGATAATGTAGAACTGGATAGGAATACATGAGTAAAAGGAATCCTTTTCACACTTTTTCTTCAAACTTTGAGCAGAAACAGACTAAAGGTTTGAAATATATATTTTGCACATTTAAATAACAAGATGATGAACTGTCGTGAGTTTTCGACATGTTATTTAAATAAGAATCAAATATTATCGTCTTGTTGAATATTTTTTATTAACGTTAATAAATTTCATCTTTTAAGTATCTTCTTTGTAGACTTTGTGTGATTTTGTCTCTATTTTGTCTTGATGTAATTCAATATATTTCGATGGGAACCTGCCCATAATTAAGCCTTCGGGCTCCGCTAAAAGAGGAGTGAATAGACGAAGAAATTGGCGCACCTATCTGTTTGATGGCACATCACACCATGATTTCAAATTAGCAGACTTCATAATTTGTTGTATGGCGATATTTTTTTCATGTAGCAGTAAACGACTTGTTCGCTCTCGCGTATTTACCCCGTTAATGCCAAGGGCAATTATCGTAATTGCAATATCTGTAATATTTGTGCTATTGGTAAACACGCTTCAGCTCGTTTTCTAAAGATGTATTGGTTCTAGTGTCTACGGAGGTATCCACATCTAGACCAACCTTGATTGCTGCTGGGGCTCTGTATTTATTAACGGAAGAAGCTTCAGTTTACATGCGGTGCCGCGCCGTTTCATATCGATCTCTGACTATTTACGATTGCAGGTGGGGTCTATTGTTCAATTTAGGGACATATTTTGCTAAATCAAAAACTGCACAATCAGCAAAGAGTTCTCATTGGTGGCCGCATTACCCGCTTCCAGCGTAAGCTACGCCCACAATGTAGACTTGATCCAATAAAAACGTATCGACCATCCATCCAAACTCAGGCTCTCTCTTAATTGGCTAGATATTAAGTTATTAGCCTGATGACGTCATCCTGTTTGGTGGTTTGCGTAGCTGCCGCGCGCAGCGAAAAGGTGCGGTTTGTAAGATATGATACAATTTAGATTCTCTATCACTGCATCTGGGAGAATGGACGAAGCAGTAGCTTGGATTCTGATGGCATCAGTAATGGCAGGTATAGGCTTGGATATTACAGTTTTTAGGCACATACGGAATATCTGGGCCTCTTTTTTTTGCCCAAAAAAGTCAAGTTCAAACAGACCGATCAATAACATATCGATCAATATCTGTTTTAATCACAAGCGTTCTTGGGAGGAGTGGAGTCCAAGGCGAGGGTGTGTTACTTCGGTCCCCCACCGGAACCTGATCCTGATAATCCGGATCACTGGATGAAACAAGTCATGCAAGAGATACGGGAACGTTGCCCGGGAAAGAAGGAACGCACCTCAGTCAGTAAGTCACCTTAGTATTGCTCGACATTAAATGGATACTCAATATTAATTCACGTCGGGTTTATATTTAAAGGGAATACGAATGTTGCTAGTTCGATATTGGATATTGGATATTTAACAATAGTTGACTGCTGTGATGAGGAATGGGTCGTTTATTAGAAAAAATGAGTGGGTTACAAACGACATATCCCACATCACAGCATTCCATGGTGTTGTTCTATCGTACTGTAAGTCAGCTGCAGAGAGCAGCTCAAGCAAAGATCGTGTGCGTTAGTTAGTGAAAAGAAGCACGAGAGCAACGAGCTGAGAAACAGCGGAAACGAATGCTCGTTAATGAATTTGACGGCTGTTTTGCCGAATTCGGCCGTGAAAATTATCCAAATTAACAAAATGTTTAGTGAAGGATGGTAAACTCAAGTCACGATGACGTCATCACCCAAAGGGCGCCCGTCTTGGCGACCGTCAAAAATCGAAGTAGTATGGTATGGAGGACATATGTGCCAAATTTGGTGGAAGAATCTGAACCAAACAGCCCCTATTACGCCCTAACATCCCTGACTACTATGAAATACTGAGTCACTGGTATTGCGCATGCCATCGTGAGGACTGTAAACGTTCAACCAATTAAACGGTTAAAGGCACCAGATTTCACGGGAGTCCAAATTTGACACTGGAAAAGTGATTTAGACCATGCCAGCCGGTCTTTATCATCCGTTTAAGACCGGCCACGTGACGGGCTCTCGACCGGCTCTCGACCAATTGGAATGGGTAAACTGTCTTAGGTTTTTATGAATTGATGAACATGATACAACTGAGTTAGACATTGCCAAATGAAATAGATTTGAGCCCCATCGCCCTGCGCTTGTTAGAAAGTTAAACGCAAAACTTGTGTGTATGTGAGGTTTTTTTTTATTACAGCGCATGGGCGCTTAAGTTTGATACTCGATATTTGTATTCTATTGGTGCTACTTTAAAAGCTAACATAATGATTTGCATAGGTTAGTACAGCGAATGGGGGTGTTCGACTTATATTGGACTGCCATATGCGTTTTAATTTTATTTTGAGTGTCTGGGGGTTATTCTAATCTTTTCCCCCAAAAGCTCCTGAGTGTTTGATACCAAAAGCCCTAGGACTTGAAGACGGATCCATCACTGACGGTCAAATCAGCTCGTCTGGTGCTTTGGACGCTTATCCTGCTCAGAACGCCCGCCTGAACGATGATCTTGCATGGTTACCCTCAGGGTACGTATAACCGAACGAAAATGTCAAACCTTTAGCCCCTGTCACACTTTTGCGTATCCCAATTCCTTATGAGTTCCTTATCAAAAAATTTCAATACGCAGCCGTACGCTCAATTAACGTCGAAATGTTTTGATCACTTTGACTTATGTGCGACGCACATCTAGCGTACAAGTAACGAATTCAGTGCATCCATTGCGTATGAGATGCGTATGCAGTGCACAACATTATTTTTCTGGCTGCGAATAGGTCAGTATGCAGTGCGCATGCCAAGCGAATTTCGGACGCACCAGACTTATGCCGACCGCATGCTTGACGCACTTCTGAGCGTATTCCCGCCGCATTTCCGCCGCTCGCCGTTCAGCGCGCGTTGCATGTATTCGTCCAATACAGGCGGCTCATATGCTGACGGGGTGCGTCACGAACACATAGCGTACTCGTAACACACTCGACCGATGCGGGACCGATGCGCTGCGTATTTATAACTTATGACCTGCGTAACAGCGTACGCAGCGTAGTTTTGTGCATGCCCAAAACTATCCTGCGTACTTGATCGTACCATGCGTATATCTGCGTACATAAAACCTACACAAAACGATAGAGATGCATATGAGGTGCGTATTATGCGTACGACTGCGTATGAAAAAAATGTCAATGCGCAACTCATAAGGAATTAGGATACGCAGAAGTGTGACACGGCCTTACAATACTACATACTGGTATCACTTTGCGTACTACATGTACATGTAACCTCCGATCCAGCCCAAGATCACTGTATGGTCCTTCAACAAGTTACATGTATGGCAGAAGCATTGTGCTAAGTAACTAGAGACGAACGCTTCCGTACTGGGTGGTTGGTCTATCCCTTTACGATAGCCCTTGAGTCAGCAGATAGGTGCACAATAGTTCATTTGATGATAAAATCATGGAATTTGGCGCACAGTCATTGTGTATCATTGGAAAGATATATGGATATAGGGCCATGGCAGATTTGTACTTTAAGTAACAAGCAATTTAAAAAAATCGAAATGGCTGCCATTGCATGTTATTCTACCCATATTTTCTTCAAAGGACAAATCTGCGAAGGCCCTATAGCCGGATATCTTTCCCATGACATACTCTGACTGTGTGCCAATCATCATCAAATGAATAGTCCCATCACCAATCTGCCGTACTATTTCCAAAATCCCGTGTGTTCAGATTGGTGTTTATACAGGTTCAATGAACTGTGAATCACAGAGTGCAAAATCAAACATAGCAGCCTGTTGAGTAGTAGCGTATCTAGGTTTTTGGTCTGGGGGCACAAATCATGGGACACGCTATGGGATTAAAATTTTCGGACAGACCATTCTGTGCCTATATAAGGCCAAAAAAAGTCACAGGTTTCTGGTATGCGCGCGCGTCGCCGTAGCCATGCGCGTCGGCAAAATGAAAAAGTTTTTTTTCAATGAAAGATGATGTCTCAAAACCGCCAAACTCACTGGTTTGACTGGAATCCTGCTGCTGCACAATTTTAACGTGTTTTTTTTTAGATGGGTTTATGATCGAGAATAAGCTTTATGTGGCCTCTCTGGACTCCAATATATTTGCACTAAGTTAAGTCGGGCACCATTTGCAGTCATCAGCCGACATTTGAAGCAAAAAAAAAAACAAGTTAAAAAAAAGCCGCGTCGCCGCACCACTTTTTGGGCAAGCTCCATACCAGAAACCGGAGACTTTTTTGGCCTAAAGGTATAGACAGAAATACTTTCTAGGCACCCGACCGTGCACCACCACAAAATGTCGCCACGTTGTTCAACGGACCCCTCCGTAACAATGTCTGATATTATGTGAGCATGCATGCACATTTTACGAGACCCCGCGCGCCATCCAACACGGAGTCGACTTTAGAAATTGTGACGTCATTACGATCAGAAATATGGAATAAGTTGTTGTAATTCGGCTACCGAAGACCGTAACAATGGGTTTACCGAAGACCCGATAGAAGGCGCTAGCTGAATGGTTTGACCTGGCGGTTAAAACGCAGTCTGTTTTGCATAATTGCCGTATCTGCTCGCATATATCTTCCTACGCAAGGGGATATCCATAGACTTCGGCGAGGGGGAGGAGGGGGGGGGGGGGGGGCAAGCCAGGTTCCCCCCCCCGCCCGCCTGCAAGCCCTTCATTAGCATGCGCATTTGTTCATTTTTACTGTCATTAACTTTAATACTGTTCCTTCACTCTGTGTACATAGTGCAAATCCCTGGATCGAGGTGGACCTCATTGAGAGTAAAGTCGTGTCGGGCCTCATCACACAAGGCTGGTATTTTGGGTATGTGACGACGTACAAGGTGGCATACAAGAAGCAGCCGTCATCTGGATACGAACACGTAACAGATGTTAATGGAGACGTCATGGTAATTATTATCTCACAACTTGCGCTGGTTTAATACTCACATCTGTTTCAAGAAACTTAAGAAGCTCAATCTGTGGTTTGGTTATAAACTGAAACTTGGAGTAGGCGGCGGCCTACCCCCCCCCCCCCTTTTGCCCCTCCCTCCCCCAAGGGCGGATCCAGGGGGGGGGAGGCAAAGGGGGCCATGGCCCCCCCCAAAAAAAAAAAAAACCAACGAAACCATTTTTTTTTTATGTGACATCGCAATAAAGGCAGGCAATGAGTACACCACCATCTTTTCCTCAAAAAAAAAAACATTGGTTAAAGTGGTCAGAAATTGCCTCAGATCGCACCACAGAGCATCTAGAACCCAAAAAAATTCGGGGCCCTTAAGCGGGCCCCGAACCCCACGCCGTAATTTTTTTGACCCACTTTTGGGGGGGACCAAATTTTTTTTGGACCCCCCCCCAAAAAAATTGTGTTCTGGATCCGCCCTTGCCCTCCCCACGACAAAGAATCAATCAGTCAAGATTATGTAAAGTCGAGGTATCGAAACTGTTTTTCTCTTTCTGGTTTCGAAAGAAATTTTAATTATAATCGTTTTCGCCCTAGGTATTCATCGGTAATACTGATACCCACACGCCGGTCACTAACCTGTTTGATGAGAGTGTGGTGGCGACAGTAATGCGCATTGAGCCTACTGAAAGGAATATTATTGCTGCGCTCCGGTTTGAGCTGCTTGGATGTCATGATTAATTCAGCTGATCAAAATTTCACGCAATACGGATAGGCGTTACGGGGTATAACACTATAGCTGTACAGTATCATAATAAAGGTAATCCAAAAACAATGGGCTGATATGTAAAACTTAGGAAATTGTACAATGTCAAAGTGGTTCCATCTTAAAGGGTAGTTTTTTTTTTAAGCTTTCAATGGATGCCTTAAGTGCACATAATATTTATTTAGACACAGATGACTGAGCACCATTGATTGCAAAACAAAGGCCAAAATACCTCTTTTTCCTAGTTTGCTAAATAAGTGTTGAGTTCAGCTGTTGGAAAAAAATTACACCGTCGCATCTGTGGACAGCGCGTTAAAAAGAGTATCATGTTAGACGTGTTGTTGCTTAAAAATGGTACATCATTATGTTGTCCATAAATAATTAATCATTTCAAACATTTGTTTTTCATCACAAACCAGCAATGACATCTCAAAACTATTTAAAACAAAACAATACTGGCAATGGGCATGGCCAACGCCAGTGCCAGCATTATTTTTACAAAGCTTCACGCAATTAAAACCTGAAGTGTAGCCACGTGTATTGCAAAGTAAAACTGGAACAAGTGGGAGCCATGGACCAGTTGACATTCTGATCTATTGCTATCAAGAGGATTTGCAGAAGTAATCCTCTTGCTCGCACACAACAAACTCACATTTTGATTAACCAAAACCTACATACTGATCCTCAGTCTCTTATTATGCCCGCCTAACCCAAGCATTTATTGAACATGTTTTTGGCACAGACTAACTCACGTCTTTAAAATAGAATTTAAGCCATACGAGTCACCGGGGGAAATGTCATTGAATGAGTTGGCGTAATCATTTTCCTAAACTAAAAAGCATTAGCTGTGCACAGATGAGATAATCAACTGTGTACTTTCATGCGTTCATTGAAGTCCATTTCCCCCAATTTTTGGTTAATCAAGAATTTTAAGAGCATGAGTACAATTACTTTGCCAAGAGTACGAGTACGAGTACGAGTACGAGTACGAGTACGAGTACGAGTACGAGTACGAGTACGAGTACGAGTACGAGTACGAGTACGAGTACGAGTACGAGTACGAGTACGAGTACGAGTACGAGTACGAGTACGAGTACGAGTACGAGTACGAGTACGAGTACGAGTACGAGTACGAGTACGAGTACGAGTACGAGTACGAGTACGAGTACGAGTACGAGTACGAGTACGAGTACGAGTACGAGTACGAGTACGAGTACGAGTACGAGTACGAGTACGATGCCATACACGAGTACACTGTAAAAAATGTTAGGTAAAACACTGTTGGGCAATATATTTTTACCCAACATTGGTTTGAAATTACTTCATTTGGGTAAAAATTGTCCAAGTATTGGGAAGAATTTGCCCAAGAGTTTAACCTGTTGACATGTTGACCAACGTTAGTCTACATATCAACCCATTTTGCCCAACGTTTTTAAAGTGTACAAGTATGAGTACAAGTGCTTTGCCACGAATACGAGTTTAAGTGGTGATAGTCTGGTATCGATATTAAACCACTTATATAGATAAACATTGTTAATCTAACACTGCGTGAAATATTTAAAGGGTAAATATTGAGTGATGCAGTCTTAATGATTATGAATTGTGTTGTAGAGTTTGCAAATACTTATAATTATTTCAGCGTAACAAATGACTAATCATCGTTGCCTTTTCTAAATAACCAAAGAGATGTACTGTCCATGTTTTTTAGCAAATGAATTTTTTTTCTCCCAACGAATTTTCAACTTTTCTGAATTACATATATAACGAAACAAATACCTTTTTTTATTTTGGTGTCTGCAACCCTCTGAAGGAGACTTTTATTGGAGATTGCTTTTGCGCACGAACACATCCGCCCTGCAAGTAGACTGGTTCCGGGTCCCTGCATTATCGACACTAATAAGGGGGCGGGAACCAGTCTATCCTACGAGAAGTCTATATTTTTTGTTCCATGCCCCATTCAAAAGTAAATTTCTTTGTTTTTCAAGAAAAATAACGGGAAAAAATCGGGGTGAAACTCAAATATAGCACGGATAGTACATGCATAAGTAACTAGTTTAACTATAAATATTTAAACATAATAAATAACATGAGGTTGTGTTGTGTTGGTTGTAGACATGCATGTATCATTAATCGATACGAAAACAGTATTTACTATTTAGTTGGTATGTGATAATTGTTTGGAATTGTGAACAAAAGTGCTATGTAAGCTAATTTCACGGTTGCTGTAAAACTTAAGCGATATTTCGCCACCCCCCTTGATTTTTGGTTCATCCCATGTTTACATATTCATTTTTTTTGTTGAGGTAGATCACTCAACTACAGCTACTTCTTATGTTATTTTAATTTGACAAAGCGCCCTCTAGATTTTCATTTTGAATTTCGCGCTTTGAGCGTCATTCTGTTCTGTTCTTGGATGAAGATAACTCAGTACACATATTTTCTACTCTTCTCCAATTCACAGGTATGACCAGTTTATTTTGTTTTCTCCTTTAAAAGTTTACTTGCAATCCTGTTTGACACTACCATAAGTTTATCTACATGTTCCTTTCATCAGTATTCTGTATTTTGTGGCTTAGAATTGCATTTTCAAGACGATGTTACGCTGAGATGATTTAGTATTTAACTAAGTGTGTAAATAATAACTTGCTACCTGTTTCTTTATTTAATTGTAGTATTTGTGTTTATAATTAGTAATTAACTTAGTCATTCTGTTCTTGGATGAAGATATAATTCGTCTCAGCTATTGCCGAATGACAGCATGCAGAGATCAAATTTGTCTTATATCAACCATTTTAAAACGTGTGTTAAGCAAATTACTCTGGTGTGTGCTAAAGCACTTTCCTTGTCCTCAAGCACAATGCGGCATATTTGCTCGCATGATTTATTTTATCAGACCAGTTACCAAAATTAAAGATTAGCAAGAACAACAAATCGAAGTAAATTTGAACGAAAAGAATATGGTAAAATGGTAGAAGGAAATGTCGAAAACCACAAATCAATGATCCTTAAATTCCCGTGTAATATGTTTAAAATTAAGTATGTTTAATAAGAAGATAAAATCAACAGAAACAAACAGTAAGTTTATGAAGAAATCGATTTTAACCCCCCCCCCCGATCGCCGCACATGGATAACGGGTATCAGATCAGGATCCAAGTTAGTCATCTTCATCAATCGCTGCGAGGCGGAGGGATAGAAGCATTCTGAACAGCGGCAATTATCCCTCAACCAAACGTAAGGATAGGTGCCTTCAAAGCCGTTGTCTGTAAAACCCAAACTATAGTGTGATTATAATTCTAGTGATGCTACTTTTCATAATTACAAGAACAATAGTACCAATTACAATCAATGATTATATTACATAATAATTGTTATTGAAGGTAACGGCGTCTTAAATGATTTCTCATTGTTTCGAGGTTTTCATATACATGTACAATACTAAGGAGCTGAGTTGAATTTTTCGATTCGATCATAATTTTGGCAAATATTTTAAGACAGCCGACAATAAATGATGTACCATACATAAGGAGCAGACTTTTTGCGAGTAGCACTGCGCATCCAGTGTTAAAGACATGTTATGGCTTTAAGTCCGTCGTCCGCAACAACTCCTGTGTATATTAATTGTGACACCTTTATAATGGGAGTTCTTGCTAATGATATACGGCCTAAATCATAATTTGCATTATTTGGTTGGCCAAAATTGTGTTTTAGTATATGGTCAAGAATTGCCATGTCGTGCCATTTTATGAAACGCTTTTTAACGTCATAGTGACGTTGGCAACTGGCCTTACTTAGGGGCGAGCGTCACTACAGAAAAGTTTCCTATGAAGAACACGCATGCGTGAGAGAGCCTCGTCCCAGTCGATGTAACTGCCTTCAAGATGGCGGCTTCCTTCGCCAGTAATGGTGATGGCACTGCGAGAATGTAAGACGCGATGGTTGCTAAATGTTACTATCTCTCCTGCAAAGACAAATTGGTTATTAAATTGCAGTTTCCTGAAAGGTTCTTGAGGTAAGTTTGTGGTAAATGCTGTACCTAATGTGTCTCAGATGCGATGCAAGGAGGTATGCTCCGCTGACGTTTGGCCACCGAACAAAAAAGAAATTCTTGATCAACACAGTGCTTCTTGCTTCGGCCAAATTGAATTAACTTGAGGACCATTTTTATTTTAAGGAACTAAGACCTTTTTGTCAAAAGAAGTCAGCCAATGAAATCGAATGACTCTTTCTGGTGACGGAGATTGAATGCTGATAAGTCCAGTATTAGACTTAACAACTTTGTGTTAAAATTGGCCGATATAACCCATGTATGCTAACCTTCGGCCAACTGGTGGCGCACCAGATTTTCCGGGCGATACATTACATCATTCAGCAGTTTCAAGGCCTTGTACATCTTGGTAACCTGTCCTACTGGAACTTTGGACATAGAGGTCGCCCTCCAAATGTCAGCGTAGCGGATGCATTGGAACTTTCCGTCCATATCAAGTCTATAGAAGAATTAAACGAAATTGTTATTTTGCAGAAGAAAGCAGAGATTGATGAATGGTTGAGATTTTAAAGGTACTTATAGATAAGGCAGTTGGAAATTACACATTTGCATGTATCGTACGCACTGTATGGTTGGTAATCTGCTCTTTAGATGAAACGACTTGCCGAACTGCACACCAGTTGTTTCGTAGTCTACCTCTCGAGTCGTCAGCAGATGGTATTCCTCTGAGTATTCCTCTCTTATCTGCTCAGCCACACGCAGGCCGTCCGCGAACTGATTCTCTGCGCCCTCAACGTTGATCTTTTCAATGCAGTGAAGCATCTGAATCTAGTTGTACACAAAATAATATCAGACCTGTATTCGAGTCACACGAAACATCGGTTCCGAGTACGAGTCCGAGTAAGTACTTCTTCCGAGTCCAAGTCCCGAGTCGTGCAGGTCGAGTCCAAGTCCGAGTCCCGAGTCATGCAGGTCGAGTCCGAGTCCGAGTCACGAGTCATAAAGGTCAAGTCCGAGTCCGAGTCCCGAGTCATGCAGGTCGAGTCCGAGTCCGAGTCACGAGTCATAAAGGTCAAGTCCGAGTCTGAGTCACGAGTCATACAACTCTGGCATATTATCAATCTAATAGCCAGTCGACACAGTCTAAAAGTCCCTCGACGCGGAAACCAGGTCACATTAATTTTGGCCTAATACTTTTTACGGTCAATTACAACTTACACGTTTTTTAGGATCAAAACTGACACTAAATAAATGTGTGCCAAGGATTGGAAAATATCATAGTTTTTCCAATTGAACCTGGATCCCGGGGTAATCGACCAGGGAGTATAGAGTGTAGAATAATTGCAAAGGGATTTTATCAGGAAAAAAAAATCTAGAGAAAAATGATAAAGTCAATTACAAACCCCTGGCAGGTAGTTTAGGTAAGGCTGGTCCACGTGAAGACCTATAGCTTGGAGTGTGTGTGCTGGACGAGAGGGATTAATTGCTGTCGACACTTGAAACGTCTCCCTAAGGGAACAAAAATAATAGATATATGAAAAGTCGTCCCAGGCTTATCACGATTCAATACATGACCTTATAAATTTCGATGAAACATAATCGCACTGGTATAGTGACTCCTTAACAAAACCCCTAAAAACACAAACTTTAGGAACCCATGATGACATACGTGTTATCCACTTTACTTTATCAACACCCATTGGAAATGAACCTTTTTTGCACACTCTAAAAAGTCCCTGCTCATCCTTGATCCGGTATTCGGATTCGAATTGATGCACTACTTTTTAGGGTACAATTGACAATTTTCCGGGTCAAAATGGCAATTTTGCCAAGGTTTCCGGGTCAAAATGACAAGGGAATTGAGAAGTGTCATTTTGACCCGATAAAAAGTGTCAAGTTGGACCCAAAACATTGTCAAGTTTGACCCAGTATTAATAAGGCCAAACCTGGATTACGGGGAAGGTGACTAGGGACTTTTTTAGAGTGCGATCGAGTGTAAGGCAACAACCCATCCAAAGGGTTTACGACGTATGAGCTTAACAACGCGAAACAGTCTTTGTTAAAGTGTATACCTACTCTTTTTTGCTCCAATCATAAGCTATATGATCGCCATATTGCAAAAAAATGAAGATGTAACCACTTTGGCTGCCAGTGCAAGTTCCTTTTCAACCATGACTTATTCAAGTTGTTAAGGACCCAATATGGCGATTTTGTGCAAAAAGTGAACAGATAGATGTAACCTCACCCGAATAAAGTTCGCCTCAGATAGGCTATCCTCTCAGCTATTTGGCCACCGGCGCCCTTCTCAGTCGGTGCCCCTTTCACGAAGGCCAAGCCCTTGGTGTTCAAGACATCCAGCCAGTTGTACAGCTCAACGTCGTCTTCCAAGAGTTTCTGGAAGTCGAAGGTCGGGATGTTGCCGTTCAGCTCGGCTCCCCACGACTGCAGCTCCGGATCCGTCACCAGGTCCCTCGGCCTGTCCGAGAAATGCCGGCGACTGAGCCAGGCGGCCTGGAAGTCGCTGCGGTGCTGGTCGGGCCAGATGACCCGCAAGACTTGACCGTCGTCCACGATTGTCTCGGATGAGGGTATCACATCGGGATCCAAATCGACAATTTTCAGTGTTCGTTGGTTGAACGAGGGATTGAAACACTGTGAGCAACGGCAATTATCCCTCAACCAAACGTAAGGATAGGTGCCTTCAAAGCCGTTGTCTGTACACACACGGTACCAACGAGCAGAGTCGTCCCTCTTAATGCTCGTCAGCTGTTCCATTGTGAGACAGTACAACTTTTTTGATATTTTTAGGATCCACTTTTATCGAAATTTACAGGCAACTAACTGATATGTGGAATATAATTTAAGATCATTGCCTGAAAGCGCAGATAAAAATGCCCCAAATGTTGTAACAGTTAGTGTAACGTGTGTTCCCATATGGTACACGCAACGACCCGCCCATAACAGAGCGGCTGTGTACAATCGCTACTGCAAAGTATAGGCCTATATACTTTTCATATCATATAAAGTACAAAACCCGGTATAATAGATAGGCCCTAGTGAACACCCAGGTCAATGCTTTCATTGTATGCTGGGGTTCGTGCAGGGTCACAGAATTTCCTTAAGCTGGAGCCTGCAGGCATGGATACAGACCTTTGGGCTTTGCTATATATAGCTATATATGAATGACAAACGCCTTTTGACTTTTAAATTGCGAATATTGAGTTCACCCCATGGTGGCGCCCCTAAAAACTTGGAATAGGAAAATTGACGGGTAAAACTTCTTGAATTGCAATTATTTTTGATTCGTTGACTTCCAAGCCTCTAGTGACATTCACGAGCGAGGGGGGGGGGGGGGGGGGGGGGGGGGGGGGCGGGGGGGGGGGCGGGGGAGGTATAACCGCTATGACTATTAAGCGCAAAGTTATATGATTGTGTGTGTTCACGAGTTCATGGTATTTTGCGTCGGGGTGATGTAAATCAATTATTAGGTTTTGCCCTTCACCGACGTATAAACACTGTTTAAACCACTGCTATGACGTCACACTATTGTTAAAAGTGTGGATTCGGAACTACGAATCTGTTACGCTGGTCACAAAGAGTGGATTCGGAACGAAGAATCTTTAGTAAAGTGTGGATTCGGAATTACGAATCCACACTTTGAACACGTCGGATAATTGTTCTCCATAATGAGCATGAATAGGACCGTCTGCGTGAAAACTTTCCTTGTGAAATTACTAATGCATCTTCATTGTCAGAGGCTCCGCCGTCAGGCTGCAAAACCTACTTTTGAGTCAGAAAGAAATCATTTTCTGAACTATCCATATGTTGACGAAAGGAGCCGGGAAAATGTTGCAACCTGACGCCACTTTTTTTCTTCACGTATCATGTCAATGAAGGTCATTCAATGCAAAAACGATGATAAGACATGAATCTGGGACTGAGAATATTTCCAATTTTGTTAAGAAATACTTAGACATTTTTTTGACTCTCCATAGACTTTGCACACAATCGTGGAAGTGGCGTCATGTTGCAACATTTTTTCCTGCTTGACTACGTATAAGAGCCTCCAAAAACTCCCTTGTAAATTACCCTAACGGTCACGTCTCGACACGAGATATGCAAGTCCGAGTCTTTTCATCTCCGCTCACTGTTAATGACAATACTTCTTTTGATGCAGTGGTTTAAGTCGAAGAATACACTCGCAAGTGTGGATTCTTAATTTCGCGCCTCGTGAATTCTTAAATTACGAATCCACACTTTCTCATGTATTCTTCTTAACGTGCTCAGATGTTTACCTATACCGAAATGAAAGTTGGAAAAATCACTCGGTTGGGACTTAACTGACCCACGACCTCCTGCTTTCTAGTGCAGACGTCTTACCACTCGACCACCGAGCTTATGGGATCGGTTGGCTGGTTCGAATCTGATGTACATAGCAGCGGGTACCGCATTTAACTATTCACAAGATGGAATTTTGCGTCGGGGTGATGTTGTTTACGGTTGATCGACGGGTTGATAGCCCGCGTTGCGGGCGACAGGCGGCTCCCCGCGTATAGCTGGCTGGGCGAGTTGAAGCCTCGTACTTGATAATGTCCGTCAATAACTCTCGGGGGCAGCTTGTCGAAAATATGTTTTTATTGTTATAATTTGGATCTTTTCCTTTCCTTTAAAATGACGGTTTAATTTTTGAATATGGACCTTCCTCGCCAAATATAATGCCTGTTTGAAGTTCGTAAGTTTAAATAGGTGAAAACGGGGAAGTTGCCTGTTAAAGCTGTGGGTTATGCATTTCTTGATCTGATGCACGCCTACAATTAACCCCCAAAAAACAACATATTTTGGGCAAGAATGCGGTCTTAAACCTTATCCGCACATTTTAGCTATGCAATCTAATAACGCCACAGATTTCCCAACAACTTAAATCGAAAAAGATAAATCCTTTTTCCCTGTTTCTAAATTTCCGGTTCTGCCCATGCAGAAGTGTTTCGTTTTGACACACACAACACAATACGTTTGTTTTTGGCATTTGTCACTGTTCGTAAAGACTGTCGAAAGTAAGAAATTATACAAAATATTACATCATGGCAACATTTATACAGCGTTGGCATGTTTATAATTCAGAATCTAAATTTAACAACTAATATCAATATGGGCAATAATATAAACAAACGGACAACTTTTGCAAATGTTATCTACCTGACGAAAACAAATCTTTGTGACTCTTCAGACTATAATATAAACAACGGAAACTGCCGAAGTCAACAAATGAAATATATTTATCTTGTTTCACTAATAATTAGAAAAGCGTTTCTTACTGAACAACGAGCAGCATTGTTGAACGTTAACTCGGCAGATTTATGAAAAAGCAAACTAAATCTCACAAAATGCATCAAACCTTCACACAAATGACATATATGTAACCCTAAATTAGTGGGATATCTCTATTTTGGATTAAATCTAATATATAGTTGATTTTGCTTAGAAAAAAGTCTTTCTTAATATGCAATAGGCCCATAATGATGTTTGAATTCTCATTATCAATGACTACAAAACGCGTGATCATTTTTTTCTCGAAAAAGTGTATTTTTCGGGAGTCAGGTTGGCGCAGTGGTTACTTTCCTCGCCTTCCACCTCTATGGCTCGGGATCGATTCTTGCCCGGACCACATGTGGGTTTTCAGTCCCTACCTGATTCCGTGGGTTTTCCCCAGATTATACGCGGGGTTTTCCTCCCACCTCTAAAACTGTAATTTCTTCTCATTGTCTCCTCTCTACAGGTTTCTTCAGGCATGCAAGCTACAGCTGCCTTGAGCGCTTTTGAGGAATCCTTGTTTTCATTAACCAGAAAAAAATAAGATATAAACAAAAAATATAAAAAAATAAATGTTATTAATGTATTAACAAAAACCTCATAAAAGTCTTTATCTGAAACATATTTACAGATGTTTGCATAATAATTAACAGTGTATTCATTATATAGATTATAACGTATATAATCATAAAGCAGCTATTAAGCGCATTTCAAATGCAGACTGAATTAAGGAAAGCAGGGTATCTTAAACTTCAGTACTTTTTGGTTAAAAAAACAACAACAAACCAAAGCAATTTCACAATACCAAATCGACTAACCACTTCACGACGCAGCATACAAGCAAACCTATGCAATAAACAAAGAACAGCAAAATACAGAGCGTGCCGGCACGATACACTGCGAATTCTGAATTTGAAACAAAAATCAAGTGGTCAACAAGCACTAGTAGAATACATCCTATATATGACACTACAATTAAGCAGTTCAGATTTTGTCTTAAGCATGAAGTCGACCTGCTTCACTTCATGTAGCCACGGCATGGTATTGGCCTACTCCTCCCACCGGCGTAATTGCTCACCACGCCAGCCATTCTAGGACTCGGCCTCGACGGTAACTTTGGAGACGCAGTTCGGGGCCACGTTTTTGCCGCATCGCTTGTGAAAATTCATCTTGCAATCTGCACAACACAAGGGCGAAATCGTAAGAGTCGTCAGGCTATGTCGGCAATTTTTTTTAAAAGGTTTCAGACTAATGATGGGAAGATAATTTAATCAACAAACTCACTGAAAGCCAATGCAACCATTAATATATATGTCCCTTTGTGCATCACTGAGAGCATCGGCTCTTAATATGAGTCTTTTATTGTCATCACAATAATAAGCTTCTTCTTTTTTCTTTTTTTTTAGATATGGCAGACACAACAACACACAAGTATTTGTGACTTCTGCGCACGACCATAATGATTCATTGAGCTATGGAAGGCTAAGGTCCCTAACGTATAGAGGGCGCTCTGCACTCTAATCACGTGTACCTTGGCATTTCAGGCCCTGGTGAATGAAGCCATACAGCAGCGAGCCACAGTGACGACAGAATGTAGGTCGAAAATAGTTGCTGATCTTCAACTTGTGTTCCTGAGTGTCCTGTTTCCATGGAAACGTATGGAATACCCAAACAATAGGAGGTTAATGTTCAACTCTGTATCACAACCTAGCAATCTTACGTTTTTAATTTTAACAGATTAAAGCAAAATAAAATGGTGATTGATTCATCCGCCATGCTTTATGGGTCTCCTCTCCAGTTGACCTCTACCTCAGAAATGCTAAATTTTATCTCAGATTATTGGATAATTTTATTGTTTATTCAAATGGCTACTCTGTCCTCGTCTTTGTCTTGTCAGTTTGCATCGTCTTTCTGTTTGTTCATTTTTTAAGATTTATGTAAATTTGCCGACGTATGTCATGTTGGCCAGTCATTTGCGCACATCTAAGCCCTACTCGTTTTCAAATGATCAACTAATGAAACTTGAATTCTAGAATAACGTATTTAGTGGGAAATAAAACTGAAGATTATATACCTTTACGGTACAAGATCCGGGGGGGGGGAGCCTCAATTTTGTTAATTTGTAAAGTCTATCAAGAGTATAATACAACGGAAATCTATACAAGTCCTCAAAAGGTCCATAAATCCTGAAAATAAAAAAAATGTCTATAAAACTGTTGCTAGTTCGCTTTCGTTTTTCATAATGTGAAGATTTATAGAAGCATATTGTATCCAATAAGATTAGTCGTTCACTTTCGCTTTCAATGAGTTAGGTTTTTTATCTTATGTATATAAAGGGAAACATTTTAGTTAGTCACCTGTTTGTTGTAGTATAAATATGTCCTGGGGGGGGGGGGCGTGGTAGACTCACTCACCTCATGTTCTGACGAGGCTGGGCACACCGGAATTATCTGGTTGTGGCAACGCTTGTGAACCACCACACGACACACTGTATTGGTACAAAGAAATAGGAGATTAAAAGCGCTAAAAATAACCTCCCTGTCATCGTTTCCGTGTTTGTTAAATCGAGGTCAAATAAACTTGAACTTTCGTAACACAATGCAATTATTCTCTCGTGCTGGCCATAATTGTTGTGTGTATTGCACAATGAACGACGTGTACATGTAGTGCACGTATACACGGAGGTTAAAAACGGCAAGTGTTTTAAAGCACGTTTACATGCATTTGATTCACTGTGATATAAATGTCCTATTTTGCTGACGCCTCTTCGATAAATAAACGTAATTCTCTGTCTATTTGAGTCATTTAGACCTACCTTTGCACTGGTAACCTTGCGACCAGATCCCCCTTTAAGCAAAAAACATGGATATTAATATATCATTCACATTTATTTGAAAGTTCAGGTTTCCAGAAAACAAATTTACACAGCAACTGAAATCGAGGACAAAATTCAATCCACCATCATCAGTAATTTGCGAAATTCACACATATATTGAAGACAAATTTATCAATTCCCTAATCACGCATTAGCCAAATACATCAATAATCAAGAGCTAAGATAAATAAGAGCCTCATTATCTCAGTATAAATTTTGTCTTGTCAACATCGGCAAAACATAAAAGAGCAGTCACCAGATGAACTTGTTGCAGTGCGAGCAGAAGGTTGGCTGTTTGAAGTTGGTGCTTCGGAACTGATGACCATTGGCATCGTGGACTTTGCGATGTCTCTTTTTGGGCGTGGTCTCTGCCGAGTCCGTTTTGGCCTCTGCAGCGGGGTCGTCCTGGACCTCTTCGTGAGTCTCTGGCTCTGTAAGTACACGATGACATGTAATTCATGATACATGTATAATGACAAAAATATCGACATAAGAGAGACTGTACTTTGAATGCATTCATGTGCACTCCATAGTCTCGTTGAACTTCTTAAAAAAAAATTTATCACTTTGACTTTGTGTGTGCAAACAACAATCAGCATTAAGAAGAGAACAAGTTGCAATAAAGAAAAACAAATATAGGCCTACTCTTACAAAATAAGTTTCCAAACGGAAAGACTCAGGAGGAAACCTGTCATTGTTTGAAGGCCGAAAGCTTAAAAAAAACACCTATTAAATATCCCTTAAATTAAAATGGTATTAATTGCTTGTACGCTTTAAAGTGGCTGATGGGGATCAGATCGAGCCACCCCATAAGACAGCACGCACGTGTAAATCAAGAGTTATAGTCTCAAGTCTATACGAGGGTCAGGCTCAGCCGAACAAGCAGATTTAAACTCACCCACAGCTGCCGGTGCCTCTTCCACCTTATCCTCTGGCTTTTCAATAGCAGGTTCAGACATGATGAAACACCGTAGGTTGAAGTATCACAACTACGTACAAACAGGGCATACATCGGCAATCATTATTAATTATAGCGCCCCACGAATCCTTCTTTGCAATTATGAATTTAAATGTCCAAACAGAGGAAAACTGAGAGATGGTGACAGTTCTACAATACGAAATGGTGACATCCGCGAACTTTACTTCTACTATTATAATACGCTTATCAAAAGCACTATCAGTATCAGTAAGGTGTTCACAGTGTTTTTACTGGTACGTTAGTGCATGGAGGAATATCCTCCATGGTTAGTGTTAGGCTGATCACAAAAAATGAGTGAAATGGGTTGAAATCACACAACACAAACTCGCCACTTTTGACAATGACTTTGTATGTCTCTATGAAAGTACTCGAATATAATCATGAAAAACAGAAGATGTTAACTGGTATACATACCTTAGTCGAGTCCTGGCTTAATTTCCCAAAAGCAGTCACGGAGTTTGCAGAAGATGTCAAAACACTCGACTATATGATACTTTGGCGCAGCAGGTTGTATCGTGGGAACGCTATCCGGACCGATCTACTTTTGTAGTGTGGTTGCCTACGTGCGCCCGTGATCTCAAGGTTGGATTAGACATTTACTGAACTTTTTCGGGTCAACCCCCTTTTAAAGGAAATATTCTGATTGCAACACACGGCAGCACTATGATACAAACACAAAACCACAGTGGAGCTTGCCCAACGTATCAGTCCAGCTTGTACCGGATGTTTTGACAAAATGCATGTGACGTTTCCTGCACTATATTATATCAGTTTAAATAAAAGGATAAATTGTTGTTTTGAGATTCTATTTGTACTCATTGATGACTAAACCATTATATCATTCTATTTCCGGAAACGGATCAAATAAAATGCGCAGAGGTTGAGGCGGAAGTTCCCTTTAAGTTCAGGGTCATCAAAGGTCGAATTGTGCTTTGGCGCAATGACGGTAAAGATTAGGTAGGCGCGTTGTGTGTCCAAAAGGTATGCCCCTCAGTGACAAAATTATTCATCGGTTTTAAAGTAAATATTTGTTGTCTGAAATACAAGCCCGCGTAGTGTGAGCTGCACTATACGCGACTATAGAGAGAGGAACACCGTATTAAGACTGAAAATAATTGATTGGATTTTGAGGTCATTGCAAACATAGCATTTATTATTAATTGGCTTTTGAAGAAGTGATGTCCGTACGTGTTCTTCGACAAATTTACTTTTAATGATTTATTTTAACGCCTGTAACCTCCTAAAATTAAAAAGCTTCTTTTTTGCCGTGGTACTTTTGTGCATAGGCAAATAGTTCCGGACGTTATGGGCCGGGCTGCGAATTGTTTTTTTCCCCAAACGATGGACATGATTTCCCATCTTCTGATCGATCCATTGCATGCATATCTAATGCCTTGTTCTCCACAACACAAACCCAAGATAGGCTTTTACGTCTTGTGAGAATTGTTCCTTCCTCACTTAAGTTATTTAAAAGGTAAAAAGAGATGAAGCTAAAACGCCCACTGGGATTGGATCACCTAGATTATTAGGACTACTTCCAACCAGTCCATGAATCAGCTGCCAATAATCGTCGGTGATTTAAACACCATTATTCCTTATAGTAACTGTAGTCTCTAAAGCCCTAGACATCATGAATGTGCGCCGAGAGAGAGAGCGAGAGCGCGCCCTCTTTTTATATTGTCGGTTCTCGTTTGGGACAAAAATAATTCACGGCCGGCCAGAACATCAATATTTCCTTTTTTTAATAGAAACATCGGAAAGTCTCTCAGAGAACCCGTGTTCAGTAGGTTTCGATGGGAAAGTTTATGTTTATTCATGAGATAAGAACAATGACGTGCACACCATATTGTTATGACTTAATCAACTAGTTACAAAGCATTTTAATTCATTCATTTCGTTCGTTCTTAACTATTTCTATACCACAGCTTATAAGAAATAACATTAGAATGAAGTCTATATTAAATTAAATGATTATTAGATTTACAAAATACACTTAGGCCTATACATTTTTTTTTCAATTTAAAGATACATATGGAAGGTGAACCCCAAAATTAAAAGAAAACGTCTGATGCCAAGCTGCCAGAGTAGCCGGATGGTACAGGCCTATGGCCATTTTTCATCGACTATTTTTTCTCTCCAAGTTTATCGCTGTGTAAATTTTAATTAAGGGAAAAGAAGAGCCCGAGAACCCAAGTGTCTGCAGTGATTCCGTCGAAACTCAACTCGGGTTCTCTGATGACGTTCTCTTAATGACTCTAAGGAATTCTTGATCTGCGGCGGGAACCATGCAGTCAGTCCACTGGCTCGAAAATCCAATATGGCGTCCTTTTTTTAAGATGACCGCCTATGGCATATACCGGTGATGTAACTATAGAAATGTGCAGTTCTGTTATTCTGAATGATCTTGGTAACGTTTGCCATGTTTAGAACACGAGGAATCTATTTCTACAACATTTACACCTCTAAGGGTGCACAGCTGTAAACAGGCCTAAACCCATCCGCCGAGCTCATGAATAAAACTCATACCCTCAAACTATTTTATACATGCATTTGAGAGTTCTGAGATGAGAGCCATAAAAGTTGGGAATTGAAGAGATATGGCAATAAACCTCTGGCCCGGACTTGGGGCTTCCAATTCTGAGAATTTTGGATGCAATTGGGCTCGAAAGTGGCGCTTTTGTGCAAGGGTGGATCCTGGGGGGGGGGGGGGGGGGGGGGGGGGGG